TTCAGAAAAATTCAAAACACATATATTTTACCAGCTTTTAGCCCAATTTACCCATCCCTGTGGTTGATCTTCTAATCTCGTCAAACCACGCCTATCGATTTCCATATCAGCTTGCTGCCGAGCGATGTTCAAATTGAACATATCAAGATGCTCTTCAGTTTCCTGAAACAAGTTATGGCTTAAATATTATTCAGTATATTTAACAAACTATTATGTGCAATACTACTAAGAAATCGACAGACAAAAAGTAGTAAACTAAAACATTTCTTAAGGAATATTGTTGTCGTTCAAGTTTTCAGAACTTCAGCTGTCTCATAAAATCACTACTTTATTCATACTGATATATGAAAGATAATGTGTGCTGAATGATTTCCAGTCACGGTTGGTTTATTCTAATTATGTGAATTTACTTTAATATTTTATTATGTGAGCTTACCTCAATAATATTTCGGTCTTTGTTGCTAAGATTCTTCTCAGTTTGTTTCTTAAGCCAAGCATCTTTATAAGCTCTCACTGATTCCCGATGCTTTTTCATCCTCTCCCAGTTCCAATTATTCCTCCGCCTCCTAACAAATTCCTCAACAATTGCATTGTAAGCGAAATGCCACCTAAATAACGAGTGTTCAAAGCATGAAGAGAACTGCATAAGAAGCAAATCAGAGCTGTTCCCATGTCTTACTTCCTTTTAGTGTTCAGCTTAAGCCAAATCCTTCACATTTAAACCGTCTTACAGCTTCTAACATATATATAGAAAGTCGAATCAAAACAAATTCAAAAAAATTCAAATTACCATTTTCTGTAATGACCCTTATAGTCATTCAAATGTGGACGATATTTCAAATACTGAGCAGCAATTCTGAATCTTTCTTGTGCTTCCAGTAGTAATAATAGATCTTGATATTGGAATTTGCCAACTGCAACAGCCAATGTATCCACGTCCAAAATAAGTTTGATTTTCGGTATTTTCCAATTAGAATTATCTGTTTCAGGTTTCTGATTTAATGCAAGCTTGGCTTGCATGTTAATTGGTTCCAGCACTATAAGTTCAATTCATAATAAGTAGGCAAATTTATAAGAAAATTTCCAATCTTCATAAAAAGAAATTAAAAAAAATCTGTAACGAAAAACTTAGTAACTAAGGTTCAAGAAAATTACAGATATAATTAGCATAAGACAAAGTGAGCACTTCAATCACACAAGGACGAGGTTAATAATACTAAATTTAGCAAATTAAACGAGCATTTCTGGAATGATCATGCACTAGGATTGAACTTTTCTGCCGGACCGCGTCTGGAAGCCAAAATCAATCCATCAAAGACTTACTGTACTTGTATCCAGATGGCTTTCTGTTGTTAATCACGATAGCATCATTCATTGCTTGCAAAATTGCAGCATTATCGGCTAAGTCAGACACTAATTCCGAATCAGAATTCCAATAAATTGCAAGATTTTTTAATGATACCAATTTGTAAACAACTTTCACAACCTCCTTATGTATAGTTTCATTCCAGTTTTCATCGGTAGTCTACAAAATACTCATCAGTAACCAGCGGTATATTTCCATCCCCAGCCAGTTTTAGTTTGAATTTCGGTCAGTATTTCTTAATCCCTACCATAAATTGAACAGACTATCTATATTGTCTATATTCATTCCTTAGCACAACTTTCATCGGTATAAAGAAACTCGACCAATGTCAGAAAATTTTTATGTTAATTTAACAAGATCTTACTCCAGTTTTTTCTTGACTCTTTAAATAAAAAAGTTGGATGCAAACAAACCACTGCTACACAAAATATGTTTTTGAAAATTTTTGTCTAAAAACTTACCTCTTTTCGCAGAACGGTAATATACTTTAAGTCTACAACTTTACTTTTTATCATATGTCTGTACCTTAAAATCGATTCCTTCTAGAGTAGCGCCAACTGCAAATGGACGACTACGATGTGAGTACTTATCTTCATAGCGAATGTGTATATTACGAACTGTCACTTGTAAGTTCTTGATTACTGTAGCAATGAATTTTTCTGCGAATGTATCGGAAGACGGATCTGGCGGTTCTGGAAATTTTGTAAAATTCTACAAACAAAAAAATGTTATCTCATAAATTAAGTTTCATTATAAAATAATACGTATGATCTAGGGATCTTTTTCATATCTGACAACAATCTGATATACTTCGCTTCATTTCAGTTTACAATTTATGCTTCATTTTAACTAAGACTCATACTAGAAAATACTATTACGGAAGTAAAATCGTGCAGAGTTCCAAACATACTCCTTCTTCGCTTCCTGTTTTCTTCAAGCCTAGCAAGTGCCTTATCCTTTTCCCCTTTTTCGTACTTTTTTGCTTTTTCTTCACTGTATACGATGCCTTTGTTCGGCACGATAATTAGATTCAAACCTACAAAAACAAAATATAAGATTAAAGACTTAAAATTAGGGATTCAGTCCAAGATTTACAAGTTTTTTGGATGAAGTATTACAAAAATAAACACGGACTTTCTTCGTTTAAATTGCACATTTTTAACTGCAACTAATCTTACATCCGTGAAAGTGTTTAGACTGAGTAAAAAAAAGCACCACAACTCCATCTGGCATATATATTTATTTCCAAATTCAAAACTCATCATTAAATGATAATGCATTGAAGAGAAAATCTCGAAAACTTCAGAGAGCTGATAATATACGTCAAATGCATTAAAAAATAACCTTCAATGTCAGCAATAACTGGCTGATGATATAGATCACTCCAAGGAATTTTCAAAACAAGCCTTGTAAGGCAGCCGAATTTTAATTTTATTGGTAGATCGAAATCATCCAATGCTGTTTCTTTCACTTTCAAATTAGTTAACTTAACGTCGCCTGAAATACTCTTTTAAATAATGATAACGGAATGTCACATCGTTATTTTTAAGATATGAAAAATCAAACAAACGATAGAATAAGTTAACAAACATGATTAATAGAACAATTATATTAGTAGCATTATGTATGTGAATTAAATAAGATCAAATTTTAATAATCTGAAAAATATTCAAATAGACTTTTGCAAATCTTATGCTTTATTGTTTTTAGTTTACAATTTCGGAACGGCTATTCACATACAAAATGTTATGCCAATATAGATCACTCTGAAGCTTGGGAGAGCTTTTTAGCATATAAACGACAACAAGTTATAATCTTCGTTTTTTATTCACCATTTAAGCAGAAAACTGAACTCACCGCCCCATATGCCGATATTTAACTGTGACGCATCGAGATTGTTAACAAAATTACCCAACATACGGTTTAGTACTTCGGCTACAACACTCTCAAAAACCATTACTGAAAAGTACAAATGATATGTGTTCCGGAAGAAATGATATATAAAAGACTACAACCAAACCGAAATGAAAAAATAACTCGACAAAACCCGATACTAAAAAATTCAATGAAATTCTCAAACCATACACTCTCTTCCTTCTCAAATTTTTGATATTAATTTTTTCTAAATCAATAACTAGTTTCCATATCAAGCAATTTAAGGAAAGATATTAATCGATAAATATATCAATTGGTCGCTTGAACAAAGTACATCAATGTTGATAATATTTATTAAACTGGTTAGATAGTAGTCAACTCGAATAGAAACGTGATTAGCATATATGTCATCAATATTTGGAGCATCATAAAATGAAGATTCGGTATCTTTAGTGATCGAATAGATGAACATTCATATGATTAAGAAACACTAATATAATTTTTTTTTGGATAAAATTAACTGTGAAGAAATCAGAAATAGTTGCAGAAATGAATGCAATACGCTCATAATGGAATGGATAGGAATGAACTCCCCACTGCCAGGTACCTTCAGCTGCAAATAAGCATATGCAAGAAGAACCACATCTGAACCATTCGACAGTTACATGCTTAATTTCGATGAATTTCTACTTCAGCGATACTTATCCAATGCCGAATCAGTGAGTCACTATAGAAAGTACAATGCATGATGATTCAGATGAATAGATGGATGACTGTTGAGGAGTGCAATGACTACACCGAAACTGCAAACTGCCACATAGCGATCCATTGATGCACTCATTCCTATTTCAATCGTACATTTTATTACACAAGCAAGATCACAAAAGAAGAGCGCTAGAGACGGAGTCTGATGACAACAGATTTTCCTCTTAATTACCGTGTAAACGACAACCCTATGGAAAGTAAAAGGAAAGAAATGGAAAAGATTTTCTTGGAAGAGCCGTCTGGAAGAGACACATAAGATCCATTTTAAAGTATGAGCTAAAAAGCGGAAGTCTCAACCGTCTCTTCTTTTCCACTGCTACAAATTAAGCCACAAAATCTGTATGGGGAGTAATACTATAACTCTTCAACTGTTTTTAATATGAAAACTAAAAACAAACAGCTTCGGCACCAGTAAATTCTAAAACAAAGTTTGTTAAAATCCAAAAATAAACTTGTAAAACGAAGAGCCCAAAATTCGAAATAATAAAAATGAAAATTAAATTTCAAGGTGAAATCTGATAATTTAATTCTATTATTTCAGTCGAACTGGCTCAACTGTAAATTAAACACTGCAGTCAAGAAAGTTACTTTCTCCCAATAAATGCATATAGAACCCTAATTAGTTTAAATAAATACATCCTACAAATTCTAGGTCAGCAGGAAGCATTGCATGTTAATCGCGTTATTTGTAGGCCTAATTGAATTAATTACTGAAAGCCTAACTAGTGGATAGATTGCATGGTGCGAAAAAGTCATGTTCAATTGAAACAAAACGATAAAGGAATAGAAAAAGGTTACTTTAACAAGCCTTAGAATAATGTTGTCGAGTTTGATATTCCTGAAAATTCTCAAATTTGAAAAAACGGGCAAACCTTTTTTTCTTCATTAATATTCATATCATCTTCGTAACTTCGTACTTTCAACACAAAAAATAAATTACAAAGAGAAATGGAATAAGACAAGTATAACATTGCTTATGAGATAAGCACAGCATTTATAACAATATTATACGTGATTTTGAGTCGAGAATTTGTTGCCTATACTTTGAAAAAACATTATTCGAAAAATCTACTGCCTGAAAGTTAGAAACATTCGCAGTCACAGCATAACTACTCCTTGAAGTAGCCAATTTAAATTTTTGGAGCAGCGAAATGAAATCATCCGTTTTGCCGGTTAAATGATCATCAGACTTCGAAGAACATATGTGTGATATCTGAAATTATCATCTTTGATCTATCTCTAATATTGTCGAGCTTAATTTTTATTCTTAGCACTGTTTCTAGTACACATACAGGATCAGGATTGAGTAAAAATTCGTTGACTGTAAATTATTAAGCAATATAGTTATCCAATCCTTTTATTTTTAATATAGCCAAGGAAAAAATATTGAATAATTAGAAGCAATTAATATAAACTTTAAGCAAGTTTTTGTTATTGTTCTGTTTTTCTTGTAATCGGTCCTCTCTTTTCCCATTCGATTTGGAATTCCCAGACTCTACAGAAACTGTAGTAGACTCGCCAGGTGAGGTACTCATGATTGAAATCATATCGTCTACAACGCGTATACCTTTCTAAAATGGAGGTAGTACAATACCAGTTGAAAAAATTAAAAAGTCCTAAAAATAACAAGAAAAGTGTTGATCCCATGCAAATATAAGATACCTCCACACGGGAAGTTATCACATCATCAGTGAGATCACCCAACCTCGAGAAAGTAGTGTGTTCAAACTGTGATCTCATAGAGCAATCACTTCGCGATCGGAAAACCGATGCCACCATATTCATCATTCTTCTTCTAAGTAGAGAAAAAGTATAACATTCATAAAGAACAGTAAGATTTTAAGAAATATCAAAAGATGAAAAGTTGAAAGAAAAAATCATACTTGTTTTTATCGGTTGTTTCAGGCTTGCTCAATACTGGAACATAAGAAAAGCTGATAATATATCCAGCCAATGACATAGTCACCTTTATCTGTTCGCCAATTGCCTGAATATACTCATCCGCTTCGTCTTCTGCCCTGAGTTGAATTGCAACATTGTTAAACAAACGAGTTTTTGCTGCTCGCCAGGTGAATAATTCACCTGATTTTGAACATAATCTGCAAAATTACAAGTAATTTATTCGAAAACAATATAAGCTGTATTAGTTTTTCATAAAAAATATACAATAATGATGATACCTTTAAATCATTTTTCTTACTAGTTTATCAACCACCTTTCATATTGGCTAAAGAAAACTATTTTGCTTAATGAACCTTAGATGAGTTCGTGATGACTTGCCCAGGTGACCATACTCTAAACCGCTAATTTCATCGAAATCGATATGCTTCACATCCGAGAGTTTCGTATCATCGTCATATGAAGCAATTATAACAGCCGTTCTGGAAAACGACCAAATAAACCAATCGTGTTTTGAGAAAAAAACGGATTAAAGTTTCAAAGACAAACTTTGTCAATACCAATACGCTATCAATTTGATCAGTACTATTTGATCCTTCAACTAAGGCCCATCCACCAACGAGTATCTCTTTCTCAGGAAGGATAAAAAGAATTGCTTCGCGGACCAGTCGACCTATACTTTCAACTTCTTCATCTTCACCCTCAAACTGTTCACCTTGTGTTTCGCCTGCATCCAAAGACATCCCTTAAAATCAAAAATATTTGGAAACCAACAATCAAAAATATTTGGAAATTAAATCATCAATATTATAAGAATTATATGCTTTTTTTATTTGTGAAGGCATTTCCGTAGGAATTAAGTAAAACAGTGATTAAAATTACCCAGGAGAGTATCAACTGCAAGTTGCCGCTGTGCATCCCTCATGTGAGACAAATAGTACCGTGAAGCTGAATTATATCCGTCCTTAACCATACCCACCAAATTCCTTTGACCGTTTCGAGTTATATCTCCTTTCAAGGCATCGGTACCAGCATACTTCAATATATATATTAAAAGTACAGATTTTTCATATATTAAAAAAAGATTATATTAAAAATGCAAAAAATTAAAGTATAAAATAAATGGACAATAAATCCAAATTTTCATATTTGATTCAGTTTATCATTGACCACTTTACTTTCAGTTTATATTTGGTCATTCTGCATTTGATTTAGTGCTTCAAATATGCGAATACTAAATAAAAAGTTAATAAATAATTAAAAATAGTAAGAGCAACAAATAATTAACTGGTAATGTAGTCAAATAATTTAATTACCAGGAAATTTTGAAAAATAAAAGAAAAAACTATACCTGCCTTGAAATAGCGTCACCATTATCAGCCCACATCGTTTGTAACGCTTGAATAAGTTCAAGCGGAGCATTCGTTTGAGGGCCAACAATGCCGAGTTTCTGTGCCTGGACTAGGCATAGCGCTTGCGATACTGCACACTGAATTTATAATTTTTTAATTAACAGATTAAGAAGCTATTGTCAGAGGGCAGACTAGAAAAAGAAAAAAAGAACTATGTGGAATGTGCTCTGCTAATTCGATTTCCATATTATATTAGTGCCATACTCATTCCGTTAGAAACTGTTGAACTTTTATTCCCAAGCATCATCAGTGAATGAAATTAAGAGTACTCTACCTGTACGACATTGGTCCTATCCAGACAATCTACGCAATTTGTTCGGATAACACCTTGCTGCTGGCGTACTATTTCACCACATTTATCAACCCAACAAAAACCTATAGCAGAAATTTGCTCAGTCAGTGCTGAGATCAAATCCGCAACCTGAAGAGAATGCATTGAATTTCATTTACTATAAAAGATTGAAATTTACTTATATATTTAAAATTAAATCAGGTGGAAATCATTTATGAACTTAGCTTTTTTTTTGGTCAAATATTGCACTCAAAAAGGATGAAGGAGCAACAAAACGTCAATCACCTTATGAAAGCGAAGTCCTCGACAACGAAAATGAAAATCGTATGTAAAATAAGCAACGTTTGGCGAATTCATGTGAAGGATATGCTGCAGAAAGCTCACCGAAAGCTGCATTTCTCTATAAAGTCACTAGGTATTTTTTTAAATTAACAATACAGATGTCCACTAGATTTTTTTAATAGCAAAACAATATGAAGTTGAGTATTACGAGAACGTGCCTTCCTCTTTGCTCCACTAAATTAACAATAGTTAAAGGTGCGCCATAAGTTTCTATCATTTTCGTAACATGCTTATTGAAAGCTGGGTAAGAATCAGCGAACGTTTTACTTATCACTAGTGGTGGACGATAACGATATCCTTGTTGAGTCCAAAAAACTGGAACAGATCCTCGTATCTGAACATATTTAATTTTAAAGCGAAACTAAATATCTTCATATCATCACCGCCGTTTTTATCAGGCAAAGCATTTTTTATTAAATTTGACATTTCTAAACGTATGTGTTTGAAACAAAATACTGACTTGGACATAAGAGAGACAATGGCCAAAAATTGTTAGCACTACTTCGGTTTCCACGAAATTAGCAACATCACCATCTCCATCGACACCCCGTTTCAGATACCGTACACCAGCACAATTTATAGATCGCCTTGATATCAGTGTTATTACCAACTTGGTTTCAGCCTCAACTGATACCTCTCTAGTAAAAAATCTGCATGATTTAAATGTATAAAACCAAGTTACTACAAAAAAAAAGGAAAACAAAGTTGAAAAACCATCACCACCTAAAGTTAAACTTACAAATAAGAGAGTACAAGGTTTCCTCGTCAACATTATATTCTATTAAAATATTCATAAATTAATGAAAAGTCCTTTATCATTTCTATCAAGTTTAAAAACACAGTTCAGAAACAACATCTATCTTATTACGGATTACAAAACAAAGCTTTTTAATTCTTTACAAAATTTGCGTCTAGTTTTTCCAAGCACCAAAAATTAAAAATCAACCTTTCAGCGACAAAGCCTTGACATACTGGAATGATCCATTCTTCAGTTCCTGGATGAGGAAAGCCCTCATCGTTAAAGAGATCAGAAAGTAATGCATAATTCCAAAAGAACCACTTATTCGTATGTCTTGTGGAAAAGTTACTATAACTGAACCACTTATTCGTATGTCTTGTGGAAAAGTTACTATAACTGACATTATCTACTTAATGCAGTTCGATATAGCTGTTTTCAGAAATCCTAACATGAATTAGGTAATCTTTTTTTAACATTTTTTTAACAAATACTTCATTGATAATTTACAACAAATTAGTAAAATATATAATGCCGTTACCTATATCAGAAACAATGAACTTAATCCATCAGAAATACTAAAACGAGTTAAATTTGAAAAGAACAGTTGCTTGCCTTTGGGTATTTAATGTGATATCTCTTTTGAAACAAATATAGAAATCACCACCATTAAAAAGCTGCAGAATTTCGTCGATCAATCGAATCGAATTCCCTTTCCCCGTAATAAAATGCATTACCTTTTTCCGTGAAATTTTAATCTTTTCCAATTTTGACGGAGATATGACTGGCTGCAATGAATCATCGATTAATTCCAACCATTTTGGAACTACTCAAAAATATTTCTGCAAACTTGAAAATTCTAACTTGTGCATTAGTCCTTACTAATGTTTAGATCCTGGACAATAATTAGTGAAAAGTTCAGCGAGATCACTAATTAGCTATAAGAGGCTAGAAATATTTCACCTTACAAGGCAGGCCATCTTTTTCCACTGGTATCGCAACCACCCTATCAATATGATTGATTGTATCCTGAAACATCATTAGTACTCATATCAAGCTTAACTTAAAGTCAAGTAATAACAAAGACTTAAAAGATTTAACATCCTTGATTTTCAAGAATAAAAAAATAAAGAGAACGAATCAGGAAATAAATAACAGGCCAGACTTGAAACAGAAAAAAAGGCTACATCATAAACTTACATTCGTACAAGGATATGTAGCTACCGGGGTGCATTCAACAACAACCAGCAGATAACACTCGTTTCCCACCAGAATTTTTCCGATAAAAGCAACGAACTCGCCTAATTCAATAGCATCAACAGATTCTGCAAAAATCAAAAATCATGTGATTTATAGTTATGTATCCACTGGTTTAACACACAATGAGTTGAAAATTTTTAAATCATAAAGAACTTCCATCTTCAAAGAAGTGGAAAGAATATTTGAAGCTTGTGAATCGCCTTGGTAGATTGGATAAGAGAAACTAAGAGTTATTATGAAGATGAAACCGTGATTCTTTTCGGTGAAATAAATAGTCCCACTTTAACTAGCAAAGTAAGTGGAATATGATTTTAAGTAACAAAACTGACACTGTTCGTTGCACCAACAACTGAATTTGGAAGTAAATGTAAATTTCGAGACACGAAATAAACGAACAATATTAAAGCTCAGAAAATCTTAACTAAGAATAATGAAAAACAAGATGACAAGAATAAGTTTATAAAAAAGTGTGAAGTGTAAAGTGTACTACAGTACCACATCCTTTTGAATATAGTCAGACTGTGATCCGCGACAACTGAGTAAGTAAATGATCCAAGTGATATTTTTTTTTTTTTTTTTGGTGGAAAAAGAATGAATTAGATAGTAATACCTTCTACTGAGGAAGCTGACAGTTTCATTGTTGATTTGCAGCATTTCAGGACACAACTTCCTTGTACCAAATAAAGGCTGCTCGTCGTACCTAGTAATATCATCTTGCTCTACAAATTTTTACCAAAGAACGAATTACGTATCATTTCCTGAAATAACTTTCAAGAAACTGTTCCAACAAATTTAATTCACATAAATTCCGAACACTAATAAATATTACTGGTGATCAAGGAAATTAGACACGGATATGCAAGGCAGGATATAATTGATTAGAATCGGAGAACTGTAGAAAGACTGATACCGGATATTACGTCTCATTTCTGGATTCACTTGTGAAATTCCAATTCCTGACAAAGGAATGTTCTGGAATGGTGTAAATACGGTTATCTTGATGGGCAATAATATTAGAACGAAAAATGGTAACAGTGCTGCCTTAGTGATAACCAGATATTTCAATCAGTGCCACAGATCGGGCAATGATGTTGTGAACTGCAGCAGTTTCATTTTTACATTAACCTTCTCTTCTCACATAACTCTAAATAGCGGAACGTTCCTAAACACCGCAAAATCGGACCTCCCCAAACACTATCATCTTAAAATCTCTCAGATGAATAATCAGTTTATCGCAACTCGGAGTTAAACCACATCCAATTGTTAATTTTTAGTGCTGTTTAGTCCTTTTGGTGCTGGTAGGTCTAATTCCTTTCAGTGCAATCCGTGATGACATGTGCACCTGTGTAGTTCTCGATCAGTGGCTCTAAGTCATCTCGTATCTTCGCTGTTGATCTCGTTTACGGAACTCCCGTTCACCTTATGTTTCTATATATATCGTTTTAGTTACTGTAATACCGAGAAAAAACTGATTCCGGGCCAATGGAAATGTAAACTAACATAATGATACATGTTTTATCGATGATTTAAAGAAAACATTCAAAAAGCAAAGTTTTTTTTCATTTCTTCTTTTTTCCAGTCGGAATTTGCAATTCAGTTGTTACGGCAGTCGATAGAGATTTTTCCTGAAAATTAGCGACCAATCATAAAAAGGAAACAAATAAAGCGATAAAACGAATGCTACTACCATTTCCTTGATATTCGTTTTTGATAGTAGTGCTATGACTTTCCTCATGTAAATCAGAAAGGACTGGAGATAAAAGCCTTTTTATATGAGGAAAACGACAGTAATCTATCAAGCTGTTGCATGGACGCTTTTAAAGGACGTTGAGGAATTTCTTTAATAGTCCCAGGCATAACTAATATGCTCGGAGTCTAATTGCAGTGTGATCTGATATACATTGTTAGGAAATACTCTTTCGTGTAGCAGCCGAAAGAGTCAATGGTCAGACGTTGATAAAAACGAATGAGACGAACTTTATTTGAAATGCTGACACTGGTGAATGAATGGACTGCCAAATCACAAAGTTCTTTAGTGGCCGGTATGTTTATCAATCCTACAGCTCCCACCATTGGCATATTAAGAGCTGTTGAAAGAGCAGCGTTTAAACCAGAGATGGCGTATACCTTCGTATTCTGTAAGCTGGAAATTACAACATTAATGAGCAAAGATGCATGTGTCCAAGCAGCTGTAAGAGCATTATCACCGAATTTAATTGATGTACTCATGAAGAGAAAGAAGACTAAGCAGCGTTTCCAACAAATCCAATATTTCTAAATTAAAAGTTATGAAATAACCCCAAAATGTATTATAGAAATATCACAATACTAATAGGGTGTTATGAAGCAATATAGTTCACGATTGTCAATGAGAATAACGTCTTTGTGATTAAAAAATTAAAAAAGGAAAAATATTGAAATGCTGTAGATTTTAAATATGTTTCAACTATTTACTGAAAAAAAAAGAGTAGAGAGTAAGCTTTTGGACCAAATGATACAACTCTCATACCTGGTAGCATACAGTCCCAAAGTAGTTGTAACTGCTGATGGCTTGATTGTGACTGTGTCAAAGAATACTGCTGACAACACATCCCTTTGCATACTACGTAATACTGAACGCATTCCAATCAAAGCGAACGAAGACTATAGTTTGACATTATGGATTATAAATATTATTAAAAGTTTCAAAACTTACAGATGAAATGTAAGGAAACAAAATTCTACCAAACAATTTCCAAACTAATAAATATATAAACATGTCAGGAATGCTCAACTACTGAGATTCAAGCATGACATCGTCTTACCCAGTCCATTCGAAACTAGGCATTTTCATTGCACATTGTTATCAATTTACATCTTGAGTTCTATATGTTTCATTTTGGCTGCAAAATTGGTGATCTACGAAAGAGTTAACTGAAAAATAACCTTCCGGGTTTTATCCACAGCGTTGTCCCTTTCCGAAATGTTTATGTCTTTTGTTCTTTGCGGATTACAAGTCGCAGACTTCATAACACTTTGTCCCGTACTTCGCTTGACCTTTTCAGGTCGTTTGAAACCTTTTTCCAGAAGAAATTCAACCAAAGAATTCAGGAAACAATTTGATGTATCATGAGACTTGATGTGCCAGTCAAACTTTAGTCTGCATTTCAAGTATGGCCTACTGCTCCGGTGCTTTTTCATATTTTGCTAAAAGTTAGGAAAAAGAAGCAAATATGTTGTACCTCAATTTTCTTTAATTTTACGATTTTTGATTTACAAAATGACAATTGAGCTGAAAAGAATTGCGGGAAGGAATAACGGAAGAGAAATGACGAGAAAAATAACATTCAGCAGCGATTTCGAAATATTAAACATCAACTAAAATATTTGTACAGTGACAAATAAGCAGATAACGAATGTATTACTATTCAACATGCAAGAAACTATTTATCCAATACACTGAAATCCCAATGAATTTTCATTTTCTAAAGGTACAGAAACCACCATCATAACACATAATTATGTATTTTGAAATTCATATTTACATAACAAATGTTAATGAATCCTACAAATCTTTTGCCAAAAGAGTAGTAAAATCTAAATGGTTAATAATTTCAATTTTATTTATACTTGTACTATCAAATTAATTACTACTCAGCAAACAAAGAAACATAGGTCTCGAAATATTAAGGACTAACTAAAAATGTTGTGTATTGTTTGGTGTTTTTAATATGAATAACTGCCGCGAATCAATAAAAAATAGCTGTTTACTGCTACACTAATTATCTTGATAACTGATAAGTGATTTTCAATAATACACCAGCTTACTAGTAGAAAATAAGAAAATGGCAATAACACAAAATCTGAATGCTACTACATGAAATCTAAATGTTTTGTAAGAAAAATGTAAATACAGATCATATATTTGTTGAAAAGTTATACATATACTTTGAAAAAAACCTATTAAAAAAAAATTTATATCATGAAAGAAAAGGAGTGTGGAAAGAAAAAAACTTTCTGCCCTAACTTATGCAACATACACTAGTCTTCCTGCTTGATTACAGAATAATTTTTTAATTCAAAAACGAAGTTTTCTCCTGAAGATAACATTAACATATCAACTATCTGACACATCTAAATCCATAACTGATTCTCGTAAAGCAATCAATAATTCTAGAGCCTGTTGGACATTCCCACCAGTTTCTTCAAGAATTCGCCTATTTTCTTCCGTGTTTGTGAAACCAAAATCAGCCAACTGGGCCATTTGCGAAGTAAATTGTGTAGAGCTAGATGCTGAAAGTGTACCGGGGAAATAGTGAGAGTTTCGAGACGATGATGTCGAAGACGATGAGAACCCCTGACTGGTTCTATTTCCTCCTACATTTCTTATTGCCTGAGCAACTGCCTGAAAATAATTTTTTTCATTAGATTTCTGAAAACTTATAAATCAAATAAAACTTTAATCAGCAGAGTTCCGATGTCCATTCAAACACTGAGATACTATTTTCAACAGCATATTATTAGCCCTAAGCCAGCTGTAGTAGCTCACAAATACAAACTAGTTATAATACATGAGAAATCACAGAAACTTGAAGGTGATACGAAATAAAACAATTTTGGATTTCATCACCATGAAATAAATCGATAGTTCTTACTAAATTAAACTTTTATTTATATTTTAGTTTTTATTTCATTTAAACTTTCATATTTCATTTATTAGTGGTGTGAACAGGTACTTGTTAATTTCTCGATGGACAAATTATGGTTAAAAGTTTTTTCAGAACGTGAATGAATATTAACATCTTCAATAGTAAACCGTACCTCTTGCAACATTTCTGGAGTTACAATGGGTGCATAACCACTTTGTCCGGAAGCTGGTGTTGGATTATCTGATAGCGAAGCGCTTGAGCCAGAATGCGACATCCTGGGTGGTACACTAACGCCTCGTAACCAATAATGTATTACTTCTACTAATATCTGAAAAGGTCCTTCCCATCATGAAAATAATAGCAAAAACTACATAATAAATTTATTGCTATTAGAGAAGTGGCTATACTCCTATGTCCCCAGTGTTTTACTACTATTGCTCGTAAAATAAGCGAGTACCGGATGATCGTGAAGAAAGGCTTCCTCCATATTCTGCTTTCCCATAACCATGGCGCCTGATAGAATAAAGTCTTTAGCCACTATTAGTGCCATTCGATCTTTCTTCAGAAGTGGAAATTCTTTTAGCAGACCTTCCATGAAATCATTTCTATTCATTTCATCGATTATCTATAAATATTATGTTATTGCTAATAGTCTAATACTAATAATTTTGATAAATGCTTCGTTTGAATTTGTTTTTCAAATAAAATAAGCGCATATTGCCATCTTTTCCTTCCACATAAACAAATCACGAGGATATCAATAGTGAAAGGGACTATCTCCTGAAGTTCATAAAAAACGCTACTAGCTTCAGGACTTCGGGAAAATCAAAACTCATTACGTGGAACAAATGAAGGAATAAATGAATTTATCGCAAACGAAAACGGAAAAAATGAAAAACTTCCCTTCTCACGACTGCGTTTGGAAGCACGCAGGAACTGAAATTTTTCTCGACATTCCAGCAATTTCTTGCTATCCAGCTGTAACTTCGGCATAGGATCTAATGTGGAACGGATCATCACATGTAGTGTGTACTTATCTTTCATATTCTTCACATCGCTTAATCTGATGTTCTCTGCCAACACTTCTCCAAGAAATACCAAATCTGTAAGAAATTTATTTAATTACATCTTTTTTTGAAACGAGTAGTAAGGGTTGTTTCTGAACTAATAAAATTTATGTCGTTTATCAGGAACACTTCTCGCAAAAAGAACATACGGCATTTTGAGCGCTTCAATGGATCACTCACGAAGTCATCTAATATTTCCTTCACATACTTCTCCAGACCAAATGAACGCGGCATACAAACAAATCCAGATTCAGCAAGCCAAACCTTCACCATTGAAATGAAATATTCCTAAATGCTGGTAATAAATAACTTTCAGCATACCAAATTTTCACATATTTTATAACCTTCAACATATTGCAATCTTTAAATACATTAAAAAAAAATTAACTTCTGACATATCAAGAAATTTAAAAAATATTGCAAACATAGAAATACCAGGTACTAGTATATAAACACATCATAATAAATACAAGTTAAAATGTAAAGTCTCATACACACTACTGATTTGGAACAATAAGCAAGTGTAGATAATGAACTTCAACAAAAAACAAATCCGAACATGTTGAAAAAATTTATTAAGATTAAAGGATTATACAGATTACTGAATGATTTCCAAAATTCTTTGATTTAGAGGATTTTCAGGAGATTTCTGCCACTGTTTCTTTAAAACTTGCTTCAGCTGTGAAAGGCGATATGTAGGATATTCTTCTCTCAGACGCGGTAACATTTTATCTTCAAATTCCTAAAAATAAGTAAGAAAGAAGTGAATGAAAAAAAAATATTAATCAAAAAAAGATATTTACCACGGTTAGCAAAATTTGCACCGAAAATTTCGAAATTACTCGTTAATTTTCAAAATAATCTTAATTGTTCAAATTACAACAGCTTTCTCGCAATTCATAGCTTGCTATCTGGTGTATATTTTTTTCTTTTTAAACTATAATGAATCCAAAAACAATCAGAATAACCTGATAGGCGGCTTTTACTCTCTTTTCAGGGTGCCTATCGATAGCTGGCTTGCCTAGAGACAATATATTAATTGCTTCCGCGACACTGCGAGCAGTTTTACCTTCCACCTATAACAATATAAATCATGACTGAAGTTTTTATGCAGCAATAACGCCAAAGTAAAAAAAAAAGTGTTGTAACATCGATGATTGTCAAATAAATGATGCGCGCAAAATACAAATAAAAGTACTATCTGTGAAAAAAAGTAAAAAAAGTAAATTCTGGTCAAAAAACGACTTCATCGGTAAAACACTAAAAGTATTTCAAAAAATACCTCCAGCTGGTTAACATTTTCTTCAATTTCACCTTCATTGGCTTCTATACGTTGTTCTTTCAGTAAGCGTTCTCTTTCTCCTTCACGTTTTCGTTCTTCTTCAGCACGCTTATTAGCTTCAATTGTTGCTTGTGTGATCTGAAATCTGCCGGATTCATGACGTTCTACAACAAAAATATTATGTATTCTAAAACGCCTCTATCCAAACTGATTAACATACACATTAACATTGTTCTGATACTTCAGGAAATCAATCTCAAGTACCTTTATACTTTGTAACAATAGCACTTGAGCAAAAAGAATATCTTAGGATTAGTAAGTAATAATGATTAACAAATAATGCATTGTTGATTCTTGGTTTTTCGGAACTTCACAAGAGTAATTTCCTCTGGATGAAAAGAACCTTAGATGACCCGACTGTTTTCCTCGATAGTGTTTTCATTTCTTCATCATGTGCTGCCCGATTTTCATGCTTCCTCTGTAAGGTTTCCATACGTTTGCGTTCTGCTTCTTCCTGAAGTTTAAAAAATTATAAATTCATTTCCAAATAACAATAACTAATTGAAGTAAATTTCTATTAGTTCCCAGATCGACATTTTCTGTAATAACCACTGCAAAAAAAAATGTGATGATTGATAATTTTGCGAAATCTTGAAAGAAGAATTAGTCTTACAAATCAACCTTTCGCTGCTTACGAGTAACGTTCTTATCATCATCTTGCCAATATGCATCTTCTTCGGCTTTCTTCTTTCTCTCCGCTTCTTCTTTCTTCACAGCTTCTCTACGAGCTCTTGCTGCCACTGCTTTCGTGTTTTCACCAGAGAATTTCTTCGGCATTTTCAGAGATAGAAATAAATATCATACATGCGATGCAAACCCCTAATAATTACACAGTATCGGTGTGAGAATAACACATCACAGTCAGAGTTGGAACTTAAATCAATCACTAACATTGATGAAACATTAAAAATCAACAAGTTGTGTGTCAGTAAAATGTTTTATCACTATAGCATTCTGTATGCACTGTTCCTGGATCATTTCGATTACATACATATGCAGTAGTCCTGTGAGTTACCTTCCTGAAATGATACTACTCCACAACTTCTGCTATTACCAGTAGCCTTTAGTTCCCTTATTTCTCTGTCTAATAGTTACATTTACCGTACAAAAATATTTTCGTCTGAAAGTTAAGAAAACATACTTATAAATACTTAAGTATTTATGCTTTACGTCAGGTCTTCTTAAGCACTTTGTTCAATGTAATCTTTTTTCATCTCTCAACTGAAACCCAAACTATTCTTACATGAAATTTCGCGTACAAATCTACGAAAGAGTTAATCCCCCATAAACTTTTAAAGTTGAAACTAAAAGCAGTCAAGACAAAACTTCAATTATAAAAGTGACTTTATACTTCAAAGTCAGTGTATTCATATTAGTATTACCACTGCAGTATTGCCTATAATAAAGGTTCTCATCTCAGAAAATCTACTTTAATAATCCCCATGCAACACCTTAATTATCAAGATGTGGAGACATGTGACGTGGTACCAAAGCATTATAATATACGAATGTAAGTAGATGTATTGGTCTGATGATAGAAGTATCCATCACTTACGTTCGTCACGAATAGTTATTGACGCAATTCAAGAAGAAAAAGTATTGACACTCCCTACAATATAAACAAAGAGAACTTTGACACTCCGGCAATAAGTAAAACGCCAAGTAATCCCAGTAGATCAACTAAATCCATTATTAAGTATCACTTTTTATACAAAGTATAATTAAGTATCACTGTGCTACTCTTTGTGCTATCATGATATAGGTGTAATGAAACTTACGAGATTTCAAGATATTTTCTCTGCACAAATTTTGTTGGATGAGGAATGACTATTTGCCTGGCGACATAAGTTTTATTGTCTTTAAGTGCTATCAATTTTGAAATTGTTTTACAAAATAATTGTGGTAAACGTAGCAAAAAAGGATAGAAAATGGAGAAAAGTATCGTAAAATAAGTTTGATACTATAAATTTGCAACTGGAAAGTACGCAATAATGAAATGGTAAAATACACAGAATTGACACTCCAATATAGTTTTGGACGGAGATATTTTCCCTGATATCGACCTGCCATTGTAGTGAACTTTTTGTTGAGCAGCTTAATCCGCTTCAGCCTTGAAATAATTAGATCCGCAGTCCTGCCATTGATTATACTCATTCCAAATGTGTCTTTCTTCAGTTTTTGAAGTGATATTAAAAGATGGCTGAATAAAATGCGGGGGTGTTTGTCATAATTATAACAGTTACAACAATGACGATTTATCATTCACATTCACATCATCATATCACAAGTAATAACTATTGTTGAATGATATAAAGTTATAAATTTAACAGTTTTAATTCTAACCGAGGTAACTGCAACAACCAGTTTTGCGTATTATCTTCACATCCGTTAAGTGGAAATCTTTCAAATGGCTTTAAAAATAGAAATGAGAGCAAAAAAGGAATTTTTTTCTTTAATCTATTACCTTGATGTTTGTTTCATTTCATTAACATCTGTAATGAGATGTAATGAGCATACTGATGACAGTCGTTTTGGGTGAGCTAGATATGATGTGACCGATCGTGAGCACAAGTCAAAAAAGCAAGAGAGAAGAGAATACCTTCCGCTACTGAAACTTCTTATAGGAATCATTTCCAGTGGATTATTTTATGTGATTTAAAGTTTGATGATTTATACTTCGATTTCAAGTTATCGAACAAAGTTAATTCTAATATTTGAATATAATTGCTTCTAGAATATTTCAGCATAACATACGCAGAGTTGTAGAACAATTTTGCACTGCATTAGATTATTGAAGCACTTTATGAATACCACCACAGATTCCGAACTAACTCATCGGATATGTTCAGTGAAATAAATGAAGAGCTAAAAAATGATGAATTGAAGAATAATTTATAAATTTATGAAAGAAAGTATTTCTTTTTCTTTCTCGTATTTTAACATCTGCAATTTTTTCTTTCATTTCTTCCACAGTTTCGCTTCTTTGTTTTTAAACAATTATATTCACCGGCTAATTCAGAATTTTTTTTTCTAGCTAAGGCCATTCAAGCTCTTATAAAGATGTGTGACAGCAGCTTCTCTATTTAATATTTCTCTGCATTCTTCTTTTTTTTCTCGAATTAATTCAAAACTGTTGAATTAGTTCTATTCAGCAATAAAGTTTTATTATTGAATAAAAGAGTGTTTGTTATTAATGCTACTTTTCAGCGATTGCTTTGTAATGTGACATTGGAAGTTTGCAGTGAAAGAGATTTTTTGACAAGAAAAACATGATTAACATAAAATTTGAAACCATTGAAGAGGATTGACTCTAAAAAGAAGATTGAATAAGACTCAGGATGATTCGCTATCGAATTGTTGAGCAAAGTTGGTTCTATGTGCGCCTGAAATCCAAAAAAAAATTACATTGTCTTTCTGAACAAAGGAGAGAAATTTGTCCCAGCTAAAAGAAACATGTAAGTAACTAAAAGTGATAAGGCGTGTTAACAAAATTAATTTGTTACTAAAATATGGATTTTCAACTACATTTTATAAAATTTGGAAGATCGATTTTCTTCGCTATCATATTATTACTTTCGGGATGTTTATATTTGTAAATTTATGTGAAAGCGCTTAGTCATCTTATTTCAGTTTATAAACAAACACACAAACATAAAATAAATAAAAACAAAGTACTGGAGAAAAAATTTTATGAGTTGAGAAAGTGCTCGATCAAACAGAAACAAGTACTCGATAGCCCTTTCTGCTGCTTTTCGGTTATTATAAGCTTTTTCATGAAGTTATTTAACCCTTCATTTTTTGATAATTCATTTGGGTATTAGAAATTCAACACTGTTGTGGATTGAACCCTAGATATAGTTTGAAATCTCAACAATTCTACCAATATTCTATAACGAAACCCTATGCATAAAATTTTTAAGATATTATATAACAAAACTGTGTGGGATAACGCAAGTAAGCAAAGTGATTATTTTTGAGTTCTTCCCAAAAAAGATTTTGATTTTCTGTTCCAAAAAGATGAAATTGTCAGAGAAACAGTATGACCAAACTCTGCACTTAATTCGACCAAAAAACCAGTATTCCATGTGGAAAACAATTACTGCCTTTAGACACTTTCACTTGAGATATGTAGCACTTACATATCTCAAGTGAAAGTGTAAATCCAAAACCCACTTGAAAGAACTTTGAGTGGTAAAAAAAAATAGAACCATCTTGAGATTTCAAACGTCGGATCGTACTGCAAAGAGTAGGTCGAAAGGAAAACGACCCACAGAATTAATTCGTTGACAGTGCAGTTGTAATCCAGCAGAAGGTTGCAGCTTTGATAATACTAATAGGCTAAACTTGTCGACCCCTCTTTCAAAATGCTTTCCTTTTTGCCTCCTTTTCTCTTTCAACTTTTCTGTAGTAATGGATCATTCAACAACCATATCACATTTATGATTTCAAAAAACATTTACTTAACAGCATAACATTTAGCAAATAAAAAACAATCAAATGGCAAAGATATATCGGAAAGATTTTTTTACGGAGATTTAAGTAGAAAAGATGTTCGGAAGAAGCTTCATGTTTAATAATTAGATAGAGATTCGATGAAACAAAAGCCTGATTTTACCTTCGAAATTATTATCATTAGAAATTAGCTAAATACAGAAATTCTGAAAATGGTTTACTTGAAATGAAAAGTATCTTCCGATAATATTTTCAAAGTATTGAGATATCCAAATAGTAAATGTGTCAAACTATGCAGAATTACATAGAAGACGTAGCAAAACTCTTTTCCGGTTGGAAGACAAAACACTTCAGGAACACAACAAAAGCTAAAAAAGGAAGAACCGGAAGCAAGAACGGATCATCTGGACATTATGGAAGATGCAGTCACATAGAATAAATAGATAAATTTTCATGAAATTTATGAACATCAAATTTCGAATGCACTACACTGTTTCATAAGGCAACAACGCTCTGACTAATTTATTGCTACAAAAGAAAGTAAAAATGATAACAAATAGCGGCTTACTCACACGAGACGGATAGAGATGGAAATGAGTGGGTAAGGGGATATTGAGTTTTCCTACGCTAAGCCATTATTTCAGATTCATGCAATAATATCTAATATAAACAAGTCCAGGTTGTTAGAAAGACATTGACAAGATGGAAAAATCCACCTGTCCTCATCCATTATCGATCTTGAATCAGCGGATGGCAGATTCAATCTTAAGTCGAAACATATCCTAACAGTCAATAATTTTTTCACTTAAGTGTAAAAAATGTTTTCGTCTTTTTACATTTATGAATCCACAGGTAAGCCGCTGGCAAATTAAAAAAAAAAAAAAAAAAAAAAAAAAAAAACAATAGCATTCTTTTCAGACTACATTCCTTGAAGCAAGAGAAAGAACAGTGCATTTAGAATCCTAAGCCTATCCGATATATGTGACCTGAAGAGTTAACGCTTAGTGAAACTTTCTCGTTCATAATGAGTTTGGTTAAACAACAATTTAAACAGCCCAAACATGTGTTATTTTCGAGCATACATTCCAGACATTTATTTGAATGGCCAAGATGAGTATTACGTTCTGAGTAAGATTTTCTGGTAAAAAAATAACTTGGCTACCACAATTTAAGAAAAGGATAGGTGAGGCGAACGAGCATTATTCATAATAAAAAATAGATACAAAAACATAAAATAACAAAAAAGGAAAATCACCAGAGAAGCATGAAACTAGCAAAATAAACACGGGATGAGTATGCTTTAAAAAATTAATAAAGTAGATGATGACAATGATAACGCTGATAGAACAAGAGATCCAAATCACAGAACAGCAATGATTTTAAAAATTCCAAATGTAAATTTTTTATAAATGATAACTTTATCAAAAGTAGGAATAAAGGTTATTGGGCTGGACTTTAGAACAGCAACTGGTTGCTGATGATATAAGCTTAAAACAAAGTTAAAGCTCACGGAATAAATCAGTAAATTGATAAATCAGTTTAATCAATCTAATTTATCAATGCGTAATTGCATCCAAACGATGTGACTGAAAAATCATAGTGAAAATTATGACCATTTTAATACTATTTTAATATCTACATACTAACAAATTAATGCTTTCTTTATCAATCGTTCGTCGCATATTATCTTTCCTTTTTAAAGTGCATTTTGGATTTTTATGAAATATTAATTGGAAGCTAACTCATGTGAAATTAGACTCCAATCCAAAAATTCCCGAGCTATTACTTGAAACCTACACTTGATTCCTCTTTCTATTGTAAAAAACATTTAGATTCCCGATCTGATGCTTCACTTCTAATTAAAATTTTATTCCAATTTAAACTCAAATCTGAAGTTGCAACTAACAACATTAGCCTGAAATCTCAAGAGAATGAATTCAATAACTTCGAAATTGTAAAAACTGAATTTTAAAAAATATGATCCAAAATCAAACTCAGTAGAATTTCTCTATTTAAATTTTCAACTGCTGTAAAAATATATTGAGTTAAAATGATGATGAAACATACATACTGTACATGGAGCACAAAAATTTTAGAAATTAATACACAAAAAAATCATTGAGTCATTTCAATGAAAATAATTATTGCTAACCGAAGAAAGCTATTACTGCGTATTAAGATTGAAAATAACGGTAACAACAATCATTATCATATGAAAAAATGCTAAACTAGCTGTATACAATAATAAGAAATGCTCTTGTAAATGTAAGCAAACATGCGGAAAATTTTAATTTTAGAAGCAACAATTTAAAAAACCATAGAAATTAAAAACCGAAGTGTGAAACCGTAATTGGAATGAAAGATTTTTGTTTGAGAATACTTCTGGATAAATAAACAAACGAGCATTTAGCGAACGAATGTTTACCGGTCCATTGAAATTTCTGAGTTTATAATAGACGACGAGTATCATGAATATAGATTAAGCTGTTCTACCGAGAAATACTTCACGTGCAGCCTGATGTTCCAGTGTATCACAGTGAACTCGAAATTCGGTCTGAAATTTGAAAAAGATAGTCATAATAGATAACTCCATCACTGATTCTTGAGAGTTTCAAATATCTTTTTAAGGGAGTCATAGAATGAAATAAAAAGAGAACCAACCTGTGCACCAAATTTTGCATTACAAGCTCGACACTGGTAATGGGTTTGCACCAATTTAAACACTGAATCACAACCTTGACATATCAGTCGCTGATGATTTTTCAACAGCTGTTCCTGTTGAAACACATTAGTACATTGAGGACATGCCCAGCCAACCTGAATACCAAATGAAGTTATAATTTTAAATCAAATGCAATCAGCATGTTTGGAGACTATGAGAAACTTCGAAACATAGTACCACAAAAAGAGAGAAAGAAAACAAACAACCTCACTATCAGTACTGCCAGCACATTGAAAATCACGTAATGGAAGTATAGCAACCAGTTGTTGAAAAGTTTTGCCATCTTGTGTAAATTTCGATGATTCACGACCGGAACTCATATCTGTCGTAATCTGCGCCATAACGCTTTCAGGAATTTGGAGCATCGGTATCGGTGTACCCATTAGATTTGGATCATACATTATTGGCGCCAAGCCTTCAAGAGATCATTTTACTTGAGTTACACCACAGAATATATTCAAAAGCAACAGGTTGTTTTTATTATAGTATATTTCTAAGGTAAACACGCTTTTGTTTCTAAATTTTCATAACACCATCAGTTATCGATCCGTCAAAAAAAAAGTTAAGGTTTCAAGGAAATTAAACAGTGACACTCATACTAACCCGATCGAATACTATATAAGAAATTGTAAGGGAAAGGCGGCATTGCATTACTGCCAGGGCTTGAAGTCGATACACCAGGTTGTTTCATTGTTCGTCGATCTCGTATAGCTTTCATTCTAAAAACTGCGGTAACCAAACACTTAATTGATAATATTAAATACAAAAAATTATTTGAAAGAAAAAGAACGTTTCATTTTAGTCAGGAAGAGAATTACTAAAGAATTAGAAAAATTAGAAAAAACCTTGTTCGCTGGATGTCTTCTTTATCAATCGTTTCTAGTGAAGCGTTCAAATCGATTGTTCCCTCTGCTTGGACATTATCTGTCTGGAGAAGTTTCTTGACACGATTAATGTGGTCAGTGCTAAATATGTGATCATGCAAGGAAATACGATGATCGTAGCTAACACCACACATTGCACAGCGCGTCGATGCGCAGCGAAGTAATTCTTCATCACCTAAAGCATTTTTTAAAGACCATAAATGATTTGAAATAAAAAATCAATCATTTCTTTCTTCAACTGAATATTATAATTTAAAGATATAAAAAAAAATTGTATAATAATTTTATGCTTGCACTATTTTGCAGGAGTTCCCAATTGACACAATTCTTCCTCGTCATTTAGATTACTAAGTTTACTTTTGGAAACAGCATTTCTTAGTCAATTAACCTTTTGATAATTCATTCTCACCACATCTTTTTTCACATGTAAACCTCTACAGCAGCTGTATCTCTGATGAGAAATTTAGTTGTTTTTCCATGGTTAAGTAAACAACATGATTCTAAAATAACAGACCACTCTGTGATCGCGATTTTCGTTCTTTTGCTCGAGCATTTTGAAACCATACTTGTACAACTCGCTTATGAAGACCAATTTCGGCTCCCAACAAATCACATTCATTCATTGATGGAGTTTTATAGCTCATGAATATGCTTTTCATCACCTGTAATTTATTCCTTTGAGAATGACATATTTAATAGTCAGAATTCTGTCAGAACTCTGAAGGCCCTTCAATAATAAATTATTATTATTACACTTACATGAACTTGCAATGGTGTCAAATGAGTTCGGTATCGCTTGGAGCTAGCAGGACTTCTTTGAGCCCCAAAACAGCCAACTCCAGTCGCACTTGGTGATGCACTGTTATAGCGTTCGCTGATATCCATATTATCACTGTTATTATCGTCGTTATCCGAATGCACAAATGAAGGAGATATCGATACTGAATCTTCCCGTCTAAAACTTTTAACTCTTTTAGCTTATAGCCACATCAGATAAAAAAACTTTTGTGGATTTTTTCATATAGGTTAGTAAAGGAAGAATGTAATACAAGTTTTTATGTAAGTAAAGACCAAGCGACAAAAACTACTAAGCAAACTTTAAAACAGCTTTGAAGGAATGTTATTTAAATCATTCCGCGAGATTAACGAGAAATCAATATTTTCGTGAAGCTTACCCATCTCCATTTGTGGTACAACTGAGGTCGAGTGGTGAAAGTTCCGACTTTTTCGAAGAACCATTTGTTCTTGACACGTCTCCCAGTAAGTCATCATTTGCCAACGCTGTGATTGTTGGTACCTGCAAGAAAATTTCAGTAAATTTCACAAAGTTATAAATACTCCACAGATTAGCCAGATCCCGCTTGACATGCTCTGTTTAATCCATCTGGAAGCATTCTTTGAGCCAGACCAAATTTCCAAGATTTAATTTTCTACTAGTGCTTAAGTACTGTGAAATTAGAAAAACTAAGTAGTAGCAAATAATATGCATTTTCTCACATCTTCAGCATCCGGTAATAAGTCGACATCAATTGATGTACTGTTAGCTTGCTCTGGATGACGATTCGTAATATGGACAATAAGTGAATCTCGCGAGTGGAATAATAAGCAACAGAAAGGACAGCGCTTATGGAATATCGCTTTTTGCTTATCCCTTACCTTCTGAACGATGAGAAGATTTAGTTCACTTTGTTAATTAAAAAGGATGCGCCTACCATATGCCCACATCCTTTTTAACTAAAGTTCTTCCGCAGTTTGTACAGTATATTACGCTATCGTGGTAAAAACTACTGCACAGGCATTTCATATCTAAATAAAAAGACCTGCTCGAACATCCAGCCAAGTTATTTCATACACTACCAATTATCAGTTTCTTGAAAAATATTCAGGATACTGTTTAATCATTAACTTTAATCTACCGGCCGATCTAGAACAATTTTAAAATACTGCCGATTTATTTCCAAATTGTTTTTAAAAATGGTGGGAAAATAGGTTTTAGGTTAAACCTAATAAATGAAGATAATTTAGAAACTGGAAAGTGAAGGAAATGAATTCAAAATGACAAGAAAAGAGAAAAATCTTACTAGCTTCATGGATGGATCCTGCGGCTTGGTTGGTGCTTGAATTTTCAAAAATTCTGTTTGACTGCTATCAACAGCAGTTGCCGATGATGTAGTACCGATAAGCTGAGCTAATGCTCCACCTAAAGTAGTTGCATGACTAGTTGTTGCAACTGATGTGGTACTCAACCGCGCTTCACGTAGATTTTCCAGGTTGGTCTTCTCATCTTCACTTAAATTCTCTTCAACGGCCTGCAGTAATAAAGACAAACATTCCAACGTAATTCCCTTAAAAACAGTTTATAATTATGGTCATTTATGTAACAGACAGTAAAGTAACCCTGACCAAAAGACTATAACAAAAGTAAAGACCATAGCAAAAAAGCAAACATAAATATACTTTATTGTCTTTTTGTTGCGCCACGCAATCATCCTTGTAGCACAATTTCTGCTGATGTTGTATCAGTTCATAATATCGCTGAAATACTAACTGACATCGTTTACACTGAAAATTACTTCCTGGTGTTTTCATAAAACGATCGTCATTGCTTGACGTTGGTTGATTTTCGTATATTTTCCGAGCCTGAAAAGGGCTTTTTATCATATCAAGGTTAATGCAAGCAGATTGTTACAACTATTTGGGAGTATCAAGTAAAAAGAAGCCAGCCGATTCAGATATAAAGTTTACCTTCCATGATTTTTATTTGTCGAAAAAAGTGGTGATCTCAAAATAAACAATATTTATTATGTACCTTCTGTCGAGCATTCTGGAACCAAACAACAATAACTCGTGGACTAAGCTGAAGTTTTTTCGACAAAACTTCCAAGTCATCATCTTTCGGATAAGCTTGCTTATCAAAAAACTGCTGTAATGTCCGCAACTGGTAATCCGTAAAACGAGTTCGATTGGCACGACGCCCAGTTACCGAATTCGCAGATGGTAAATCTTTAAAAAATTTGGTAAAAGTAAACTTTTTAAAAATTTTTCAAATCCAAATTTACTAATAATTAGACAACAGCGGTCCTGTAACAACCACTAGCCGCAAACACTAGTTGTTTAGGGGCAGAATCAAATCTTCAGATCTCTTCGTAGTCTCCTATACCTTTTTTTTAATGTGAAGATTTAATTTGTAAAAAAAGTCGGTTTTCACAAGCAAAAAGTACTTGATAATATAGACGAAATGTTTTTGTCATCATGCAAGAAAGTGGCGAAGGGATTATTGCATGCTGCTGACGATGAATGAATTTGAGCGGTTTGAACATTTGTAGAAGATATTGCATTTCCTACACCTCCTACACCACTTATATTTACCGGATTCTCGGATGTTTGCAACAATTGTGGTTTCGATTCTTCTTCTGTCTGAAAGTAAAGAATTTTACAGCAGTCAACCTTTAAAATAAAGTTATTAGCGTTAAAAATAAAATTAAGGATTTCTTGACTGTATGTCACTTTTTTTTCTTTATAGACCGAAAAAGACCTCAATTTTAAGAGTAGTTATTTTTGTTTCGCCGGTTTTTTCGTAAGTGTCCAAATCAATGCTCATTTGTGGCGGAATGTTGAAATTATACGGAGAATCTTTGTCACGCTGTCGTTCCTGAAAATTGAAAATAAAATATATCCAAAAAAATCACTATAGTTATAATGGAAAAGCGTAAACAAAAATATCCAAAAAAACATCTAACTTTCCCATTATTTAAACATTATATACAAAATCCTTAATCAAAAGTCTAGGATATCAGGATAAGGAATCATTTGTTCACTAACGATTATTAAGCAAAGAAGTGAGTAATTGTTTACCCTTATCATTTTAAAATAAATTGTGACCTTGAATAATGTATTGCGAAACCAGTGTTTTATAACTTTTTCTGGAAGTTGCGCCTTTAGAGACATTTCCTTGATTTGTTGTTCACTAGGTGAATTATTGATGTCAAAATACTGCCGCAAAATTTTCAGTTGGTCATCGGTAATCCGCGTCCGAGCTCTTTTAGCTGGTGATGCATTAGGGAACGCTGAAGAACAAAAAATTAAAAAGAAGTTAACAAAATAAAAAAATAAAATATAAACGAATGGATGCAAGTCAAAATAGTAATAATTACTGAAGTAAATCCATTCTGCAACCTTGCCCTTTGTATAGCAAATTTCCTTCAAACCTTAATCATACCATGCGATGCAGTTGTAGCGGCACTCGGTGATACGGAAAAAAGTGGATTTGTAAAAAAATCAGGCGGCATCAGCGGCATGAAAGGATTTGGTATAAATGGAAATCCGAGCATACTCATCATCGCCAACTGACTGTTCAAATCTGATGAATCCTTGGATGTCGACGGCCGAGGTGTAGCACCGGCTGAACTAGATCGCGTGTCCTCTTTCAACTTCTTCGTCTAAATTTAATTGATGTGAAATAAAATCGAAACTTCGTATCAATTTTTGGACTTTTGATATATTCCAAATTTCACTTTAATTCATAGCAGTCATCTCGCACATGGGATCCTGTATCGAAATTCGTCTGCGTTTTAGTTGAAGCATTTGCATATATTGAGTTTTTTTTCTTTTTTTTTTTTTTTTTTATTTGACAGACGATAGAAACGTTCCCTTCAATAGAACTCTTTCTTAGAAAACTGTAAGAAAGTAAGAAAGCCATCAGTTTATTGGAATTATGTATAGATTTTTACTTCGAGTATGTACTTATCATCGTCAGCTGTCGCTGAAGCCGTTGTAGCTTGACTGAATAAATATCCATGGTCGGTGTTTAATTCAGCGTCATGACTACTGCTCAGTGGTAGTTCATCCCTTCCCAGAGTTCTTTTTTTAGTCCCAGATACTGCAACTACTGGTGTCGTGATAGGTACCACGGTATTCTGCTGCTCAACGCTCAAATCACTCTCGTCGTTCTCCTTTTCTTCGCTCTCATCCAACGCTTCATGCAATCGTTTGGCAAATTTCTCAATCTCTGTCACCGGTACGGTATTTTCATGCATCTGAAATAAGTAAACAGTGATAACAGATTTTCATAAATTAAGCCTCAAAAGTTATATAATTACTATATGTCTTTTTAGATATTATATCGAAAATGATTGCTAGGATATAAATAGAGCTAGGAAATGATAAGATATCAAGAATGCCGAAAAGAAACCAGTTTGGAAGCGAACAAGTGCGGCGGAGATAGGAAGGCTTGATTCAAAAAACTACTTATTGATTGAATAATCGACAAAATTTCCCTACCTCTTCATAATGAGCCTTAAGTACCCAGATACTGCTAAACATTTTGTTGCACTTTGTGCATTCAGCGCGATTTAAATCCGGAATTGTTTCATCCGGCAATGTGTCCAATTTGCGCCGCGGCTGCTCTAGATCTTCATTATACTGCATCACTACATCGAAACCTGGAAAGTCTGTGCTTGAAGTCAGTAATGCTTCTAAAATTTCGTCACTACAAATATTACTGTTTGTTACAATTACAAAAACCTTAACTGAAAATTAAGATTTCAGTAAACATGCATTCTGTGAAAACGACTTCAGCTAAAAACAGCAACTCAGCTAACCATAGGTTTCAAGCATCTTGCGAAAAGCAGAGCCGGTACGAGGAGTTCGCTCATCATCGATGGATATGATGGATTGTTCACTAGTTGTTTTTGTGGCAAAATCGGCAGTAGCACCGTCGATTGAAGCTGGTAATTGTTCTGTAAAATATGCGGGTGAAGTTTTTGTTGTATAATATTCTTTTGCATCAATAACAACAACCTCGCAAAATGTTTAGATAGCGTATGTGGATAAAGAGGATACGTGAAAAAACTGATCTAGAATAATGTGCGACTCATTCATTTTTTGATAGAAGTTTAGTAAAATATCAGAAAATTCAGATAGGGTGAGCAGAAATATAAAGAAACAAGATACGCTGCATTCCAAATTCTTTCAAAACTTGGAAGAAAAAATCTAAAATAGATGAAAAAAATCAGGAAAATATTGCTGAATACGTTCATTCATTTACAAAATTCCATACAAAGAAGGTCAGAAAAAGTTCAAGAAAGAAGAGAATTTGTAATTGAACTATGTAATATATTGAGATTTTTCTCATTTAATAATTGATAAAGAAAATCAGTGAGGCTGAATCTCACTACTCAAATTTGGGCGGTCAGCTGAAGTTGATGTGTAATTTGAGGAATGCAACTGAAGAAGTTTCGTATTCCTTGTAATATCAATCTCAATCCAAAGGAAGTAAACAGGAATCACGCATCAAAAAATCTTTAAACATTTCATACTTGATGAGTTATCAGACTTTCTGTTCTGGTTCTGCAAGAAAGCCTGTCAACTTGTGGAAGCAACTAACTCAAAGTTCCAAATGGGGTGATAATAGGCGGAAATCCAGCGGCTATGGTCGCTAATGCTGAATGAGCTTGCGAAGTCGTCGCTGCTGGAATATCATTCGGCAGGGCGGCTTGACCAGCGGATGCTATCGACAAAAGTTGCGCCATATTCAGCATGTTGATCATCGCCAAGGTTGACTGCTGCTGCTGTTGCTGTTGCTCCAACCCATTCTACAACATTGAATTTTGGACTAGATAATCAATCGTTTTTCAAATCTCTGCATTTTTATTCCCGATGGGAAATTTTTTTATATATTTTTGGATAAGAATTGGAAAGCTGATAAAGCCACCACTTTAGGATTCGTTGTCAAACAATAGTATAAATTGGATTGGTTGTTGATTTCAGCTTCTTTAAAGACATTATTTAAATCATGCCGAAACTAAAACAAATTTCGAGACATTTAATGTTATATGAGACTTATTTTAAATTACAACCAACTGAAAAATACACATAGGATAAAACTAAAAATAATATTACAGTGAAAATGATTATCCAGATATTGTCCAACTATGATCAGTACAAACAATTTTGTGGTGACTTTACTTCTTATCAGACAGTGAACAGTAATGCTGTATTTAATCCAATTGAGTGTTTCGGAATTTGAAAATTTCATGAATATTACTGGGAGAAATACTACTATACTTAATGCAGATAATTTTCAAGCATTTCCAGTAACAAACAATCTAAACTTCCAATCTTTTGAGCAGTTATTCTTCAAATGAATGCATAATAATATTGTTTTTCTGTAAAATTATGAATAACAAAGGAAGAAAGAGAGACAAAGAGAACGGGAATGGAATGAAGGAAGTGCCTTGGTATCGACTCTCTATTAATAAATAGTCAAATTTTTGTCAATTTTTTTCTGGATTTTTGAAAATTTTCCCACTCTTTGAGGGGACCAAACTTGAAAGTTAGCGCAGAGAACGCTGGAGCTTTCACTGGCAGAGTACCGCCAACTGATTGAATCACGGAATGCAATTGCATATATCTTTCTTTCAAACATACATACATACACACACACGTATATTATATGACACACATACGTACGCATACACGAATTATTAGCATTTATCCGTTAGATTATACGGTAATTATTATGATGATTAATGTCCAAAAGAGAGTGAAACTGAAAATACGAAGGAGAGAGAGGTCAGGGACGCTTGTGAGGAAATAATACAGGAATATAAGATCAGCAGCACTAAAGACAGTGAGCATGATGGAGGGTGAGAGTTTGAAATAGTATAGAGAACATACAATTGTCAAGAAGAGGAAAGAGAAAGAAAATGAAATGAAGCCGATTGAATCGTCGCAGATTCCTCATTCATTGTCCAGTAGAAGGGAATGAAATGTAATATATAAATGGTCGACTGAACTTTGTCTGTAGATATATAGATCCACTGTGTACCTCCACGAGATGGAAGAAATCCACCAGCTGATGACCCACTGCAATATACTGCCGAGACAAATGTTCGATGAATAAAAATTAGTAATCAGGGAAATTTTTCCCCTCAGTAATAAACAGATCAACCGAAAATTGATGGCAGTAGTAACGGATTTAGTCTAGACCGTAGCAGCATTAAAAGGTCATGAGACTTCGGGCAATGTTCGAATATGATGCATGCACGTAAACAGGAATTCATTGACATACTGTTTTCACTGCGGTGAAATTTAACAGCGCACAAATAAATTGAGTTTAACATCGGAACTCTCCAAGTGTATTAAATTTATAGGAATATCAAAAAAAAAGGAAAGAAAAATCAATGAGAAGCAATTGGAGCTATTACCACCACCCACTATCTCAATCATCCCACTTATCAAAGTGTTGAAAACTGTGAGAGGATTAGAAAAAGAAGGGAATACAGTGTGGGCAAGGATACAATAATTCAGTGATTAATTTTGTAAACTGCTCGCCATGTAAATGAAAATTGAGCCTTTAAACCTGTAGAAAAAGAATACTCAACAATTAGTGGAGTCCTTTTCTAAAACACTATTCTTAGTATGGTACTGAGATATCATAACTGCTACAAAAATATCGTGGGAGCTTTGGGAGATACAATGTTGAGATATGACACCATCGATTAAATTCATGAACTGTGGTTATGATGATTGCATAATATTTACTAGGGCAACGACTTACTACAGATACTGTATTTTTTGTCCATGAGACATGACTTGTTGTGAAATTTGGTAAGATATGTGACAAATTTGAAGTAGCTAGGAAAGTAAAGGTGAGAACATGCAAAAATGTCATTAACAGTGATGGAGGGATATTATGGGAGATAGTAGAAATAGTTTATTAACTTACATAAAACTTTTTTTTCAAGGTGCATATTTCGTAAAAGATTGTTAACAATAACGTCACATGATATGGAAACATAGTAGTCAACTTATCAAGTAAATTTGATCAAGAAAGCAGAATATACCTGCACTGGATCAGTGGTAGAATCATGTTTGGTAGCTAATTCAGCTAATGCTGTTTGTGTTGGCCCGCCTGGTTGTTCTATGATCGATTTGCAGCCATCAATTTCACCTTGTGCTAGGAGCTCAGCTATTTTCGTTAAGCGCGACTGATGTGCAACAGATCTGAAGAGTTCAATACGCATCAGATGACCAAAATCATACCATTACTGTACTATGATCCAATTTAGCTGATCTTTGATAACAAGAGCTGAATCTAAGTATAATTTGTTAGGTAAAAAGAACAGAATATCACAACTTATAATCCGAAAAGCAATTATAAGTGTACAGTTTCAAAAAAAAGCAATAATTTTTTTTTTAATTAAAAAAAAACTGTTTAAAGAAAAAGTAATCTCAAAACTTTAGATGCTACCATAAAATGATCTATCTTCAGTTATGAGTAAAAATTTCATTATAGATACTAATGCAAAACTACGAACTAGAAAATAATATTCATGGAGTAATAAAACGACGAAGTACTTCCACTGAGTACATTTGCCTTTACATTTAAATACAACAAATGCATTTACAATTTCAATTTCTCGAGTACCTTATATGTATATCTAAAGTAGAACCAAGTCCATAACCCAATTTGCATAGATTACATTTGAATGGTTTTGAGCTTCCATGTGACGATTGAGAACTTGTTGACGCTTGTAGTGCTGCCAAAATCTGAAATAAAATTAACGCTAAAATGTTTAGTAATTCATTGAGTTAACTTAACTATTTCCGAGAAGTAAACTGAGTTGAAAAAAGGATTTAGGAATTAAAAGGAGAAAAAGAAAGACCAAAAGAAACAAAAATTTTAACCTGTGCACTAGGTTGAAAGCTATTCGACTGTTCCTCGAGCATTTTTTTAGCTTTATGAAGATGTGTTACTGAGTTATAATGCATCAACAGTTGATGCTTTTGTTCAAAATTCTCCTTGCATAGTTCACACTTGAAAGGTCTGCAAATATAATTTATAATTTAGTATTCAGATCACTCAAATCTCTCAGAATCTCAAACTCCCGAAATCTCAATCTTCTCCAGAAAGTACGTAATCCAAAAAACTGGGAATCAATATATTTATGAAATTGAATAAATGAAATCACCTTAGTGGATTAACTTGATCAGTCTCCGTTTTATCATCGATTGCTGCTTCCACTAACTGGGAATGACACAAGCTTGTGGTCGGTGAATTATAAGTTTTACCTAAAACGACAAATTGTGATATAGACGTCTCAAGTTCTCCGAAATTACAGCCTATACTATTCAATCAATAATAGTAGGAAAATGTATACTAGTCAAATTCTGATGGAATATTGGTACTGCAGAAACTTATTACAACATATTAACAAGATTGGGAAGATTCCGGCTATTCATGAAAAATAGTTGAAAAAAGATCTTAGAAATGTCAAGGAAAGGATTTACATTTCAAAATAGTGGTTTGGAGAAAAATCCAAATAAGAAGAGATCTAATGGCAAAAAGATTGCAGAAAAAGAACTGACCATTGGTGTGTTCCTGAGCATTGTGTCTTTTCAGTAGTTCATGAGAGCGGAAGCTTTGATCACATTTGGTACAACGGCTACTAGACCGGAATGTGTGGTGCAAAGCGTGACTGGCAAGACGTTGTTCGGTACGAAATGCCAACGAGCACTGTGAGCAATGGTAACGGTAAATTTGCCGATCCGTTTTCTTTTTCAAACTGTAAATTTGGTTGCTCATTCATAACAGATCATAAATAACAATGTGACATCGATGCTAATAACAATGACAATCACAATTGTGGTAGCAATGACACTGGCAAAAACAATACTGATATTTCGTCGCTTGCTGGTTTCTGCACTATGACTAAAATACTGAACAGGTTCCAAATTGTAAAATGTAGTGCGCTTTGCATACGCTAAATTTGTGAAAATGATAATGATGAGCAAGAGTCACAACAGAGCTATTATTGAAATCAGTAACGGGTGGAATATGAACAACAAGCATCAATGAAATCAGTAAGCAAGGAAGAATAAATTTTAAAAAGTCTTATTTCCTCAGTATCCATCAATGAATTATAAAAATGTAGAAATAAATTAACAAATTTTAAATAGATGAACAGGCTAACAGCAATACTCATCCGGAGTAGACATTCTGACTACAGAATGATACAATAAATAAATCAAAAGTATGAAGCATCACCAACCACATAAACGGCTTTCCTTTTCTCATTAGCAATTCCAATTAAACTCCAAAACTAGGGGCAGTGGAAGCGTCTCCTGTGATGTTAAACCTCCCTCCCCCCATCCCTTACAACAATAATTGCACCGATGCTGATGTGGTGAATTTCGGATCATTATGAACTATTAGATTGGTGAGCTAATGCAAATTTAAAGAATTTCAATTTAAACCAGAATAATCATTGCCACCATTTTCTGATATGCAAGAGAAAGTACTTTAGAAGCAAAAATATTAAGGTTTCGAAACTAAGTTAGCTAAACAAATCATTTCAGACATATGAACGAACAGTACCTTTTCATTATTTAAATACTAGATATAAGTAAGCGAAAAAACTCGTACACGAATATAAGTTCGGAAATAAGTTTTAGCGAATTCCATGTATTATGGTGGGAAATATAGATTCCAGGTTAAGGACAAAGAACTCCAGTCCAAAGACCGCAAGTCTTACAGTTCTTGCTTACCACTTAGCATGTCACTTTTGTGAAAGTTAAACCAAATCGGAATATTCAGTATGAAATAAGCTTTGTATTATCTCTTTCAAGATTTAAGACATACTTATTAACACTATAACACTACAATTTTAAGTCAAGGAAGAGAAGATAAATTCAGGAAATTTTTTTTTTAATATTTATCATTAAGGACATTTTTATATATTACAATTAGTGGATGTTACTGAAAAACTGTGTGGCTTTAAGATTTTCTACCCAATAATTTATGAATTGACTAAAAAATTTGTATGTTTCAAAGAGGATTAGGAATGGAAGCTTTCACTAGAAACTGAAGAAAAAAGCTAAAATTAAAAAAGAAAAAAGGTGCATATTATATGTGCATTTGACGCTTATGGAATAGAAACCATTCGGCAGCGATCATGGTAAATTCACTGAGAAGAATGAGAGAAGATTTACTTTCCTTTTAAGTATACAATCATTCAAAGCTATTTTAATCATAACGTAATAACACGTGCGTCGACGATAATCTGTTTTTGTAAAAGACACTTCAAAACAGCCAATGTTTTTGGTATCAGCATGTAACGTTGGTGATAAAAGCACATTGCGCTGCGCGTCTGCTTGTAGAGATTGGTACTACCGTAACACAGCAAGGTGGTACTTTAGATCTACGTATCACACGTATCACTGCGCATACTAGGCGAATTCTAGCAGCCCAAATGTTCATTGAAACATACAATTAAAAATTGCACTGACAGATTTTATTGAATCAATAAAACAGAGTTCTCACTTCCTTTAGACAAATAGCTAATTGAGGGAGATTGGAAATGAAGTTGGAAATCAGATTCAAACTTTCAAAAGAGAAATAGAAAGAGAAGAGGTGCCATCTTAATCGAACGCACTGCATGTTACAACACAAACAATTGGTGGAATTATGGAAATTAGTGCAAATCGAAGGAGATGGGATGAGGAAACGGAAAAGGGTACAGCATCAGCTCATACCAAATGATGCGGCTGGGAAAATGGCTGTAAAAAAAACAAGCAGATTTCGAACCACTGAAACGCCGCTACTGCTTTTCCCCTTACAAAAATACGTCATGAATGAAATAGGGCATTTTATGAAAAGAAAAGAGAGCTCTCTCACGGCAAGCAAAAAGTGCATCGGACGTATATCATATGATAGGCTTGCTTTAATCAACGCAACACATATGACTTTTTAAATTTCTAATTTCCGACAGCTATCTTCTAACCCAGTTGCTTGGCTCACTTTTGAATAGTTTATTCTAGCCAAGCTTACCTATTTATAAATTGCTTTGGTAATGTTAAGACATACTCCCATTTTCAATATATAATTGTATTCGTAATTCTTCCACTTCTACTTCTCATAAATTTGAAACTTAGTAATAGTCCATTTTTAAAGCGATAAAATAATTTAAAACTGTGCAAAACAAGTTAATTTCAAGATATGGGTTATCTGTTGTAAATAATGCTAACATGTGGCATCGTAATGATAAAGATGGAACTAGTCAAGTAATACAACGCTAACGCCTGGCACCAATACTGGAAATAAATGTGAAATCTCAAGCAACACTAGTCCCACCAAATTGAGACTGGAAGGACAACCATCTAAAATGTGATCAATTTTTCTTTGCAAATCTTCAATATCGTCATCTACTGAAAATAATGAGTCTACTAATTATCATAAGACCCATGCGTTCTCTATGCAAGCTATCAAAATCATTCCCTTTTCGACAAAACCACCATGAATTATTAATATTTTTTTACAATTAGTGCCATTTGAACAGGTACCTATTCTGTAATCAAAATATGGCTTATGACAAAAGCATTTGTATATAAAATTGATATATGTTCATGCTTTGTCTTGTGTCTTATCATAAACATGACGGTATTCTTCTAGTTTTGTTTATTTTGATTTATCATATATATTAAGTTTATCTGAACTGATTACCGGAAAAATATTGTGAGGGTTACCTCTTATCAGATGCTGAATCGTTGAGCAGACTTGATGACGCGGTATTCAAAAGCAGCCGCTCAATTGCTTCTTCCGCTATTTTATGCTCCTGAAAGTAAATGACAATAAAACACAGAATCAGTGAAATCAAATTTTTGAAATTGAAAGCATGGGTAATCAACTCTCATAGATACTGCATCTGTGAGTAAACCACCTGAGGTAATTTTGTAACTAACAAGAATGATATATTTTAATAAAACATGCAGAAATGCAAGCAAGTGGTGTAGTTAAAGAGTCGCAGCATTTTGCTGTATGGGTTGAAATTAATTGGCCGAAGATTCGCAGTGTTGTCATTGCTGGATGGTATATTAGTGAAGGGCTGATTTTATTAGTGTTAAAATCAGGTTTTCGACTTTGTCCTCTCAATGTACAAACAAATTACCTCTATAAATTGAAATTTTGCTCACGTGGCTTATTCATTAGCTTAATGGAATAGGCGACGAAATTAATGCAATAGTGGCTTCTATAGAAACTTAACTGCACTATTCTCCAACTCCTACAATTATCCAACTGTGTGTTAGAGAAAACAATCAAACGCCATTTTTCGATTCCAATTTTGTTTTTGGATTCTACTGTTAGCATTGAAATATTTGATTGTTGCAGCTAATGCACTAATATTATAGTTGAAACAATGTCCAAAATGATGTCCAATGACAGTTTGAAAACATCGTTTAAGAATCTTTTGCACAAAGAATGATGTCACTTAATGAACCACCATTTCTTTAGTTTCTTTAGCATAATCAAAATATTCGGAGAGGTCTGTTAATTTTTATTTCAATAAGCATAAAATTACTCAACTAATCCTTTCATTTTTCTGAATTCTAAATAAATTTTCGAAAAATAGAGTGGTACAGGAGATCATAAGCATAAAAGGCAAAGAGAAATTAAGTTGATAAAGATTTTAAAAGAAAACAAAAGTTTTTCGGACAACTAACAACCCAAATAGTATTTGTATGGACTTCTTTAAAACTGAAAATTCTTTCCACTACGTTACTGTCATGCCATTATTTTAAAATTCATTGAAAATAATGGTTTAGAAAACGAAAATACGATGTAACCATACGTACTTTAAAACATTTGTTGAGAGACTTTAAATATTCCTTGTGAGGAAGTCTTTGAGAGTAAAATTAAAATCTAACATTTATATTTTCAATTTTTTCGCCGATTAAGACAAGGGTTTTACCAGTTTTTAGATTGAATAGAAATATGAATTGGCCAGAAAAAAAAATAGTGCAAAAGACATACTAACTTAATCCTTTATTTCACCTAAGTTAACAAGTACTTAATAAGTCTCGAACCGTGATGTATTAATTTTCTGCAACAGATAAAGAATTTATGCAACTAAAGAATTTCACTCTTTGAAGCTGTACCAAATTTGAAAAAATAGGACTAAATATGTTCTACTGTGTCGAACATTGTGCGGCATTACTTAGGCATAACTTCACAAAGTTTTCACATGTGACGAACCAATTTCACATGTTCAAGTACTACCTCAGGAAAGAACAATTAGAAAAAGCAAAGGTGAAATTGTTCAACAGACCAACACCGTTATATTTCGAGCATATTAGGAAAAATTATTCAAATGGATTGGTAAAAAAAAAGAATGATACCTCAGCAAGGTGTGTACGCAATTCAATACATTTACATGGACAGAGAGGACACAGTTCAGCCATCGCTGGCTCACCATCGGTCTTTGTTGAATGTACCACTTTTCTGTGCTCGCTAAATTCTGTTTTCGTTTCTGAAATGACATATTAATCTAATCTATTCTTGAAATTCTGAAATAAAAATGACAAGTAAAAGGAGCCTATTTAGTTCAGCGCAGTAAGAATTTTCATCTACTTCGTGCAGCTTTCGAAATTACTCCTTAGATATCTCTTTATTTTCAAAATAATGTATAACCATTCCACTTAATCTTTCAGACTAAAAATCTCCCGTAGCATAATTTCTACTCAGATGAAAATATGAAGCATGTTATGATGCATCTCCAAAGTATCAAAACATTTTACTATATCTCTGAATTGTGAGGTTTAGCAAAGTTTAGGTCCAATAAAAATAAGCAAAAAGTAATTATTTAAATATTTATGAAAGTTCCCCTTTAAATGAAAAAAGTAGCCATAAAAAAGAGCTGATAGGAAGGAAGAACTTAGAAAATAGTAGAGAAAAATATGCCAGTTCAGAGGCAAAGTATTTTCTAAATTAAAATCAAAAAATAAATAGTAAACCAATAACTCAACCCGAACACGAATTTCTCAAATATCAATAGTGAAACAGCATCCGCAATGAGTAGTAGTATCGCACCTCTCCTCTCATCACTTTCGATATCATATTTTAATCAATCCAATTCTCTTCCTATATATATAGGAGATACATGAAACACGGGTACCTACTATCAGTGACTTAAAAATAACCCAGTGATATCTAAAAGCCAATTATATAAGAACATAATCTTTCCTTTTTTACTTTCCCATTTATGTGACATCCATCAAAGGACTAACATGGAAGAATATTCTTGATTTCAGGAGCAATATGAAATGACTTTGCATTTTTCTGTTTTTAAGAACAGTTTTTTTCCAAAAAAGAATGTGAAGAGAGAATTTATTGCTTAACTACTCTGCGGTCAATATATCTAGTCCTTCGAAAAGAAAATCGTCGAGAAGTTATTGTAAAATTAAATATCGTAAACCGGAAGAATAAATTAAAATTAACATTCACATTACCTTCTATTTTTGGAAAAGGATTTCCTATCCGATAATTGGAATAGAAATGATAAAATCTTTCGAGCGAAAAAATGATCTTAGTTATCTCGTCAAATACCTTCATGTGAGATGCTTAACCCTGCACTTTCTGCTTATTTCTAAAAAAGATTTTGATTTTCGAACCAGGTAGACAAAACAAACTAAATGACATTTGATTCCGGTATGAATGGTGATAGTGTTAGTGACAAAGTATTTGGGAATATTAATAGGCTTAAAGCTCAAGCGAACATTAAGATGAATGCTGTCGGATCAGAAGCAGTTTATCGAAAAATATGACTTTATATTATTATATAAAAGAGATGATATGGTCCCCATGTGGTGCTAGTGCTGCTGCCTCTGTATGTATTTATTCAATCAATGCAAAGTGGTTTTGGACAATATGAAGCGAAATAAATAAATTGAATGGTTCAGACTGGTAGTGCCCATTGAACCGAATAGTATCAATTTATATACCTATCTTCAGACCGAAACTTATAATGCCTGCCGAGAGATATTCAACAGCGCCCTTCCTTGATGGCAGTTCACCAAGAGAGAAGTGATGTTGTCGCTTTAAGGTGAGACGCTCGAAGCAATCTTAAAAGTATACGAAAGCTTGGTGTCCTGAATCTTAACACCTGAATTGATGACTTTCTGCCATTTCACTACTTTGTGTGGGATAAACATCTGCTGAGAATAAAATTCTTATGCTACTGACCTCTGTCATTAATACAACCACTATTGCCACAGTGGATACCTTTTTAACACATTCTGATGGGAGAATTGGCTGATGTGCTTTCGGTGTCTCCATGTAGTCTAATAAATTGAGCAAAGCGAAACAGCTAGTTTTTTTGGTGACTTTTTTTAAAGACTGGTTAGCTTATCGGCTACATCAAAAAGTCGCTAGAAGTTGCCGCTATGGCGGGTAGGAGAGCTTTTGGCGATTTTTCAATTAAAAAAGCTGCAAATCACGGTCTTTTGCTTTGTGATCTTGATGTCAGCTCTGTACCATTGCTAATGATAACGTAGCAACAACATTCCTTTAAAATGGCCGCAGATTTTACAAAACTCAAACTACTTATTCTGACGGGCAAACTTTGCCAAAATTTTCTCGACAATATTCGGAGACTGCAAACGTATCCTTAAAAGACTTCAAAAATATTTTCAACAGTTTTTTCCGGGAAAATTTGTCTTTCAATTTTAGAAAAATAAAATCTAATTGAGATATTTAGGTCACTCTAGGAGTACACTTCTGGAAGTTTCAGTCAGATGAAATGACATTTCCACTTCTTGGTCGGTCAAGCAATCCGAGCATTTCATGCATTTTCTCATGATTAAAATTAAAATACTATAAAGATCGAAATGATGTGCTGTTTCATGTAAATCAGAAGATCACGACTTAGTAAATCGTGATCATTTGTGAAATTAAAGCAGCAAGAAATAATTCTAAAGGCTAAAAAGTTTGTTACGGGATACCAATTATAATCACATTACCTCCTTCCATTCCTTTTTTTTTTTTTCATTTCTATCAAATCCGTTCTTTATGCAACAAACAATGTATTTAATTAACGATTGAAAAACTACTTACACAGTTAACGAAAATACGAAGCATTCAAGCGCAGAAAAAAAAAAAAAAGAAAAATCCATGGTGTATAAAAGATTGTAATTAGAGGAATTTGATTTCTATCACTAAATTTCATGTCATTTATGCATTTTCCAACAGATGACTTTTTAATATAGCTTTGTAAAACCTTGCAATAAAAGTTTTCGTGACCAAATGATTAAATTTTCACAATGACCTGAATACCTGTAATAGTGATGACAAGAGTAAAATTGTGGTAGATAAAGACTAGCTTATCCAGAGTATCAGTAACATGAATAAGCTGAACGAGCAAAATATTCTATGACAAAAACGTTAATAATATGATGCAGTCAGTGATTACAAAAGTTTGCTGATCTTGAACACTTTAATTGTGCTTTTGAGCAAATACATAAATGTGACAGAACAGGCAAACAGTAACTCAGTTCATCTGGAACTGTTTAAAGTAATGTTTGAAATAAACACAATCGAATGGTCGAGCGAGCTTTGTATCGTTTTGCTCCTTGTCTTCAGACCATTTAACTTACACTTTTAGAAGATGTTTTCTCCATTTAAATATTTAAGTAATGTTATTTCTTACTAAGTTTCATTAACATTTTATGTCGAAGATAAAGAGTAAGAAGGAGTAGGCTACTTCACAATCAACCACTTAATCGCTGTATGTAATCTATTATTTTCAACAATTAACATAACACGACAAAAGGGGAACGGATGGGAAGAAGAACGGAAAAAGGATAACTGTAGGTACAATAACACGAACAGTTCTCAAGCTTTTTTTGAAAAGGAGAAAAGATGCTTCTCTGCTCTTCATTGACATTCGATGGAAGAAAGATGATGAAACCCTGGAAGACATTCTTTTCTCACATTATACTACAGCATTAAATGCTGATGATCAAGGCAAGGATTGATTCGTTTTGTAATCTAATGAAAAAAAGAAAAGATACGAAATCATATTTCTTTTGTTAGACAAAACATTCAATCATTCATTCCGAACAGTCACAAACAGAATTAATCCAAAGCAGACAATTTTCTGGAATAGTAAATACTGATCAGCCGACTCTTCTCTAAATTCATGACACTACCGTATTTCTACTTTTATCTGAATAACAACTGCTCCATAATTTTTCCTCACCTATGTTGTGCAAATGTGAGGACAAAAAACTTATCGAGAAAATCTGTTTCTGAAAAAAAAAGAAGAAAAACCAGATGATGATGAGAATAAGAGTGTTAATAAAAATTTAGCAAAGTGAGATAAGCAATAAAAATCAAGCTTATCCTTCAATAAAATCGAAGAACTTTTGTACCTGACTCTTATCTCTATCTGTGGCACCACTACCAATCCTTATCATCTTTAGCAGTATCAACAACAGTACATATTACACCTCTCTAAGTAATTCGAATGCAATTAAATTTTTTACTATTTCACTGCAAATAATGATTTCAAGAAGACTGAATAGAAAAGCTCTTTCTTATCAGCAGTTTATATTTGAAATATATTGGAGTAGTGAAATACTGCTGTTATAGCAGTAGTGAAATAGCAGTAGCAACCTACAGTAACTTTAGAACAGATCTAGAAATTGTAAGTAATGAATGATAATGGTTGAAACATCTGTAATGTCCGTGCTTCTCTTACTACGTGAAAGAGAATTACAGAAAGATAGAAATACCTGTTGTATTCAAAGGCACTTCTACATCACGTAGCACAGCCTAAGCATAATTACAAAGGTTCCTTATATCTGAACATTATTGGAAATAGTAATCGAAAAGACGAAAGAAAAAGAATCTAATTTGTTATATTTAGTGCATAGTTTAAACTCATTCAGAATATATCTATTCAAGCAGTGTAAAAAGATGAAATAACGATTTATATTCGCCACTGCTTTTAACAGTGATATCATCAATTCTTTTCGTAAGAACAAAAACGCAGGGAAACAAACCGATAATTCACCTTGAGACCATATATAGACACTTTTTTTATATACTTCTGTTTATTTTTATTGGTGTAAAAAATGACAAGATCACCTAACTTGTTTAGACATTTTGAAATGTCTGAGTCAAATTCTCAGTAAAATAGCACTGAAGACGTAAGAAAGAAAGGCATTGCTTAGGTAAGAATTGAGAAAGGATGAATTTTTTTGACTCTACTTAGTGTGACAAACACGTTTTCTGCGAAATGCTTCACACAATATCATTATCTGGAATATGCATCCCTTTGCATCTGGATATATGAAATATCATATTCAATTCTTATACGATTTAAAACATTCCCTATTAATGCAATATTTTGACTTAATAAATTAAGTATTTTAAGCTGAATCTAAATCCTTTGTATCTGTGACTGAACTACACTTTATTTACTAGAAACAAGGATATGAATAAATCTTAATGCATTATTATAATTTAGCATAGTTGGATGGAAGTACTGTCAATCTCTCCTAAAAAATTTAAATACTTTAGACAGATCTTGAGAGATAGAGTACTTTCAGAAAGCATAAAAATGAGACGTATTATAATGATTAAAAAATACAGTAATCTAATCGATTCTGATAAGTAAATCAGCTGGTCTTTTTCTTCCCATGAATCTTATAGGAAAAATAGCAGTGACAATGAAAAATTGAAATATTACTAAGCAAACAGCGCGAAAATATAAAATTTCGAAGTTCTATCAAAGAGGAAATAAGTAGACAAGAAATCGACAGCACTTCATTATACAGCACGAGTGATTAGTCATTTTCTTATCAGCTGTACTTTATGTCTTCGATAATTCATTATGACAAAAAAGAAAGCTTAACTGTTATTTATTGACTTTTCCGCCCTCTACTTGGAATATTCTGTGCACAATTTAAAAAACTGAATATTTTAATAAATGTTCAAGAGAATTAAAATAAAGGAAGGAAATCTGCAAATTAGCACACTAAATAGGATTCAAGATTTTGTTCTCGTCCATTTCCTAAAACAGATTTATTCTCTTCTTATGAGCGAGAACTTCAACATAGTATTTGTCAAATATTTCTAAGTAATGTCCATAATTGAGGGTGTATCCCAATAATCAGTAAGAAAACTAAAGTAAAAAATTATCATAACCATCATCGGAAGGAACATTCATTAAAACATGAAAAGAGACAATCAGGCGATTGCAAAGCTTCTGAATTTCCTTTGGAAAATATTTGTAATTAGGTAGGGAAATTTTCACCTCAAAAGAAAGAAAGCTTACTGGTAATAAAGTTGCAATGCGAACAGCAATATGCGGCTTCATTCATATTAAAATTTTCTGCTGCGCAGTTCTTAATTTCATCCTCGTCTAGTTCTCCTGAAAAAAAAAAAAGAAAAAAAAAAAAACATAATCTCGCTAATATTGCTGTTGTCTAAAATTATCAGTAACGCTTGTTAGAAAAATACTCGTTGTATCTTGTCTTAATATCATGCACCCTAGACTGCTTCATCAGCAGTTATCATTCCCAGGTTATCAACCACTTATCAGCAGTTATCATCCTTTCTTCTTAATCAATTTCTCGGAATTTTGTTTATAGCAAATTTTTTTGGTGGATTAAGTATGCTATTTGAGATATTAAATGGAAAAAGTATGTTTTGACTAATAAAGTAAGTTTATGGGAGAAGCATCTGTTGAAGTGATCAAATCGGTTCAAGAAAACCCAGAAAGAGAAGAGAAAAATGGAAAAAAAAAGAGGAAAAGTTGAAAGGAAAGCTTCGTGATAACGAATGGTGAGAGAGCAGGGCTGCTAAGGAGGGAGGGAAAAACAGTGGAAATGAATAGTTCTGGGAAAAGCTAACGAATGACAATGAAAAACTTTTGTTGATATGCCCCGACGATGCTCAAAAGGGTGAACTGTTTTAATAGGATGATAGTGGGAATGGAAAGCATTTACAGTCGAATGGGATCATAATATATTAACGATAATTAATTATTTGTGATTAATATTATTGCACAGCAGTGATTATGCCACTGATAAAGATAATCACAATGATATGAATGGTGTCGAGGACAATCAAGAAAAACAGGTGGAAAATTGACTCGTTGCTTTCCAAGTTTAAAAAGACTTAAATTCCGAAATGAAGACAGCAGTGTGGAACTAGTACAGTATAGACGATACTTACTAATACTGATTGATCTATTCCCTACTGTTCTTAGTTTCTTATTCTAGTTCATGTTTATATTTTCATTTCATCATCTTTTGCTTTCCTTCTTTTCATTTCATTTATACCAACTCTTTGCTACTGAATCGAGACGTGCCGAAACTTTTTTGATTCAAAATATTTGATTAAATAGGTAGACTCTGAAGTTTCATGATGACAGTGCCGGATGGCATATCACAGAAAATCAGAAAAGCTTGAACAGAGTGAATAGAAAGTAGTAAGCTGGAAATAAAATTGTTTCATGATATGATAAGCTCGTAATTGTCGTCGTTCTCGAGAATCTATACTTTCACGGCCAACCAACGAAACATTGGTATGTGAACAGCAAACTCTTCTCATTCCAGTTCGATACGCTAATCCGCAGCAAATAATGATATGCTAATTTGCATATATCGAAAAAGGAAAAGATGTTTTTAGTGCTCTAATTATTTTAAAAAGTTATTTGTGAGCAAAAGAGAACTAGTTGTTTGACATCTTCCCACATAATTAACCAACTATTTGTGCATTGTATCATTCATTGTCAAGTCCTAGTTATCTCATATATTCATGCAGTAGTAACAACGACAACACGTGCTCTAAATTGACAGAAACAAGAACTTTAAGCGATCGATGCACTGCTGTGCAGTGGGCTTTACATGTGCTGCGACAAAGTTCGCATGTTACCAAAACTAGCGATACAGTTCGCGATACAATATCGAGATTTGCATAATTATTAGCAATCAATTGTACAAAAGCATAATTGTTTGATGAATTTTCTGCTACTTACCAATATATCTTTGCCATTTACAATATCTGGAATGGCAGAAATCAGTGTGATGAATCTTACTTGACATATAAGTAACAAATACCACAGGTGTCAAATCGTTCATTCTTTCGATGTACTAATTGTTTTCTTCACAGAATTATCATTTTCCTTTAGCACTTCAAGTGACAACTATGCTTACATCTGTCAAATGTTTCTAAATGTTTGAAAGAAAATGTATAAAAGTAGTGGTAAAAATGAGAAGGAGGGAGAGAGGGAGAGGAAAGGATGGAGGAAAGAATAAAGTAAGATTAGTGATGTAGTATAGTGCTCTCTTTAAGCGACTTTTTTGGGTAATCCTGGAAAAAAGCCACTGCAAATCGCAGTTTTCAAACGTTTGTATATTCATGCGAATGTGAATGGAATGGAATGAAATGGAATGGAATTGAATGAAATGGAATGGAATGGAATGAGTATGCGTGAAGGGTCGTTCTCTTCTCATCAATTGAAGTGCTAGAATGAACAGGGAGGGATGGGATGGGCAATGCTTTGCTTTCAGGGGAAATTCCTTCTTTGCATTTCATGCCATTTGGGAAAAGTCAAGAGGAAGATTTCTGGCAGCTTCATGTCTCTCAACTAATTGGGAAAATGTAAATTTTGTGCGCACATCCGTTACCCAATACGCCGAAAAAAGGGAAGGGAAGAAGAACGCAGAAGATGAGAAGGATGAGAGAAGGATTGAACCGGAATGCTGGAGGAGGAAAAAGAGAAGTTGTCCTTGAGAAAATTTTAAAAAAGATGCAAGACTGACGAAGTTAAATGGAGAGAGTCATATTGGTGGTGCTAGAAAAAACCATTACAGCTTTCAGGATGATGGCTCCAATAAACACAAGTAATCGTACATCAAAAATGAGCCTTAAACTGAGAGACCAACAATTAATTTGAGTTCAACTAAGCTAACGCAGGAATGTAACTCAAGATTTTGGATAAGAGACCAAGAATTGACATCAGGATAATGAAGAAATGAAACATTTTAAAAAGCATATCAGTTTATTTGCCAACTAACCTAAATAAGCTTTTGTCATCATACATAAAATTTTGTTGCTATGCACGCAGTGCCATCGATTCCTTAGACCTGATGACTTTGGTGTTACTTTTGGGCGTGAGGCCTACTTTTCATCTCACCAAATGCGATCGAATGGCTTACGAGAAAAAAAAAAGAAAGAGACGACAAGCATATCGATATTCCCTAGCGCTATTGCTATCATAAGAGTGCTACTGCTATTGCTATCATTAGGCTTATAAGCTTTAGGCACTTATTGCCCATCATACAAGTAATCAGAAGAATCAAGTTTATAAAGGTGACTAAATAGCTGAACAAGCAAGCCTGTGAGTATGAGCAGTGAAACACTGGAACATTATAAATGATCAGGAAGGACAAGGTGTTTTCGTCATCACAAGCATTCACTTCTTGCAACAATTTGAACCACAGATTAGACAAATACGTTGCAGTTGCTATTGATCAGCATAGACGTCTCAATTCGGCAGGCACGTGAAAGTGAAATCATTTCAGGGAAATCATCTCGATGAGGCTAGGAGAAGGTTAGTAGCATTGGATGCAAACGGAGGTAGTAAAGAGATGGAGGAAAAAGGGAAAAAATTTTTTTATAGCGAGCGGAAATTACGCTAACATTCGTTTGGGTGAAATTAATATAATCATTTTGGATTTCCCTTCCTTTTTCCTTTCCCTTTTTTAGAAAAAATTATTGAAAATGATTTTTAGAATTATTGACTGATCATTTTGATAGAGCCTTCCGTTATGAAATTCCATTCATTGCAACTTAATTACATGCTTGCCCTATCCTCATTCAAACAAGTATAATAAACGAAGAGTAACAAGAACAGAAAGACACATGCTTGAGTCCATTTGAACCCGTTATTAATATGTCATAGTGAAAGGAAGGCGCATCTTTTAATTGTTGAATTTGCGCATCTAACGATATTACATTCTTATCAAATGAACAAATCAGCTTCTTAGTTAGGTCTACAAGTGGAAAAGCCTCAAAACTCAACTTCGATCCCATTTTCTCCTAATTTCGCATTTAAACAGGTTCTCTTATCTCACTTATTCCAGAAATGTTGTGTTTCATTATCCTAAATTTACCAATATTTTTCAATTGCCAGAATTAGCTGGCCGACCAATGATAAATATTAGCCACTGGTATGGTAACAGCATCAAGAAATGCGAGAGCAAGGACAGCTGCGACCACATTGAATCTTATATTAGCAAATTAAAAAAGCCACCAAAGAAGCATTACAGGACAACTCTTTATAATCTCAATGTGAAGCGTCAAATGACAGCCGTGTCTTCGTATTTGTCTCAGTTTAATCAATTAAAGGTTAGCAAAGGACGCAAGTAGAGAAAAAGAAGGAAAGAAACAGAATGAGTACTACTCGAATAAATTACAGGTATTGAACGCTCAACCAGAAATTTAATTTTAACTAAAATTTGATGAAAAAGGGGAATTTTGAACGGAAATTTTGCAGTTACAACGATGGCAGCATTGTGCATTTGAAAACCTCTTTCATTTATTATTATTTCAACGTTGGAATAATTTGAAAACTATCTGCTGCCGCTCTCCAAGTATAGCCAAGTGAAATTCAGCGAAGAGGAAATTAAAAAACAAAGTTTCTATAAAAACGGCATTGCATGACATTAAATGACAATTATGATTGTGATGATAATAATGAACAACTATCCAACATCCTGATGATGTACAGCTGACTTTTTCCTGACCCTTCTGCAACATCAATAATAAATTCCCAATAAATATGCATTAAATTTAATTTGATTTAGGTGGGTGTAGTACCAAAAATAAACAGTATTATAAGAGATAAGCAACAAGTAAGTGATAACAATGATTTTGCTGATAACAATGGAAACATTCTCGAAACTAATCGACAATCACCTGAATTTTCGTTTTTCATCAATAAAATGATCAAAAGAGATTATTCCATCCAACAGCCAAGCTGAATGGCATAAAAAAATAGCCTAGGATGATTGTTCAAAAGACATAATTATAGATTCCTAGAGAGTAATGCTAGTTCATATTTCTAATGATAATAAAAAAATAATAATAACAATAGAGAAAGTAGTCATGAACTTTAGACAACAGCAACAACATGATTGAAGTATCACAAACAATTATAAAGAATTTAAATCTCAATAGTTACAATATAAAAGTTCTACATTACATTTGCTTTTGACTAATGGTGTATAAATTTTTGTTTAATTCAATTCATTGAAATCAGTGCAATCGTATAATTGAAAATGATATCTTACTATCCAACTCTCCCTTTCTTTTACCCCATACCTATAACTACCGCTGTTGCACAAATGATTAAAATCATCACTTACTGAGAAAGGTAAACGAATGTGAAGGAAAGAAGGCGGGTCGAAGAGACCAACCATACCAAAATTTAAATAGTATTAGTCAACTATTCAATTCCTCACATGCATTATATCGTGAAACTACTATTTGTTTAATTATAACTAGTTATTATTATATTACATATGGTGGAAGAGAAATGAAGTGGAGATAAGTTTATAGATAGAAACTTAACAATGTATGCAATATTTATAAACTCATTAAGTTAAAATGATGATATATAGATTCATTGTGTCTATTCCTGATGTTTCTTATAAGGATAGAAATGTCGTTGAACTGCTTAATTATTTCTTCAAACCTACTCATAAATGAAATGAAACAGTACAGTAACAAATTACTTGTTCCATATCAAATTTGTTCTTCTATCTATCACTGAAAAATAACTGATTTCTGCATTTTGTCTGTCAGACCTTTCAAAACATGCAGTAAATCAAAAGATGCCATGCCTGTCAGGGATGATGAAATCTACTAAATTCTAAATTCTTCGCGATTTGTTGAAGGATTAATTTTGGAAAAAATGGTTTGTAGAAATTTGTTTTGAAGATGAAATTATCATATAAAAATTTCACTTTGTCTGTTTCATTTATAAAAACTAAAGCTATGTACTAAAAAGTGTAAGAGCTATGTAACAAACATACTCATTCTCTCAGCAGCCAAATATTAATTTACCTTAGCTTCATCATTCCAGAGAAAAGAAATAAGTAGGCACCATTTGTTATATATCCTAAGCAAATGTCCTTTACGAAATTCAATCCTACCAAGCAGATTTAGAATGAAGTCACAATTCTCAAGAAATGCATTACTGTCAGATGAGTGTTTTTAATTAACTGTGATACACAAATGCATCATTATTGTCATGACAGAAATCTATTTTTATGCTTGTAGAGGAGAACAAATTAAACAAGCCAACACGGCACATTTTGAACTCTATCAATTCCAAGTCCGTTACTAACGAGATCTGTACTTTGGAATAATTATTACAAATTTACTGTAATACGATCTCGAATCAGTATTTCAATACATTATTACGTTGATTTGAGGTCAGATAAGTTATTGAACTAAGCAATTTAGTTGAAGTGCTATTAGCATCAAAACATCGAATTTGAATCTTCATTTTCAAGTACAGCTGTACTGAACAGAACGTTTCAAGAAATGAATTCTTCATTTTAGCTTCAGCAAATTTATACCAGTGCTCTTCTTGATTTGGTAACCGCCACGTAAATCTGTCGTTTAATTATAATTATACTATTGTGATTTTACCAATATGAACAACAACATCACTGTCACCCCCCACCACTGCCATTAGCATCTCTTGCTTCTCAACCTTCTCCGCCCCTACACATCCTTTAGCGCCCTCTCAATGAAGCGAAGCACATTCCCCGCAATTTGGATATTTGATTCTCAACATATATACACAACATTAATTGTATGTGTGACCTTCGCTAATCATCTCATCTTTCTCTTCTTTATTTCTAGTCTTTTCTTCTCTTTCACTTCTTGTCTTCCTCCGCAGCGTTTGTTTGCATGCGAGGTTCGCAGGTCCTTAATGTTCGCCGACAACTGTCGTTTCCATTCTTGTCTTCATTCATCACCTCGTCCTACCTCACTAAACCTCTAATTACACATTAAGATGTCTAGCAGAGTGGTAGGAAGAAATGTGATAATTTAAAAAGAAGCGCAAATGAGGAAAAACAGTAAATGTAGTGAGTGGCGCTAATGACAAAACAATTTGAATGTTAGAGAAGGTATCAATTCTCATTCCTTCCTCCACGTTAACATCCTTTTATCATAGCTTCACTCAAAGAAATCACAATATTTGTAGTAATAAACAAATAAAAAATTGTATGGAGTACTCCTTTAAATTTTATTAAATTTAAAATGATATATGTAGTGGTGAGGGGACAAAGAGTGAATTATTAAAGTCTCTTCAACGGGTGGATCAAATAAAATTTGACGATTATCGTTGGCTCTTTTCTTGAAACTGAAACGTAAGGGTAGTCACTTTACGATTCATAGAACAATTCTGGCAATCCTAATGATAAAATGAGTCCCTCAGAGCGGTGAAAGTTAAAAAGCATGATTGGAAGGAGGAACAGTTATGTGTGCCTTTCGGACAAACATATAGTTAATGTATGCAAATGCAATATTGTAACTAGAAATGTTCCAGAAACAAAACATTACGTATTTAGTTAATGAGTAGTATAACACATATCTCCTTATAATTATTAAAGCTATTTCCTGCTAAGCAAAGATTATTTCGCAGTTCACAATAAATATTATCATACAAATCTACTAGATTAATCTTTAGATCGCTATATAACCTTTATTCTTGGAGGCATAACAATAATGAAAAGAATTTGAAAGGAAGCAATGAGAATGATTGATAATTGAAATACTAATCAACAATCTTATTTAAACTCCCGATGATCGTAAATACTGATAAGGTTAGGTTTCTAAGAGAAATTTCAAAAAAAAGGAGGAAACAAGTCCAGGATATGATTAAATGTTCAATAAGAAAACCTAATGTAGTGAGTGAACTTACAGTCGTGGTGATGCGCCTGGACAATAATACCTTCCCATTCCAACAATTCCTTCGTCAAAAAAAATCAGTCTATCTTAAATCATTCAGCATCATTCATATATCTTCGTAGCAAAAATCTTTCTACCCTTTCAAAGATCTGTAGCTCCCTATTTTAAATAGCAATCTTAATCTCTTTTTTTCAAAAAGTTTCTATAAATTCAATCGTCTTCATATAAAATGCTATAAAATCTGAAGGGTAAGGTCAAAGATCTCATATGAGTTCCAGTTATAATTACTGATGCTATGATAGTTTGCAGTTGGTCAGTGCGTCTCCTTAAAAATGATCATACCTATCCTTCTAGTTTGCAGATCAAACGCAACTTGCACCACAACAACATTACAAATTCACGTTAACTATTCATCATTTCTGTGCCTTCTACATATGCATGTCAACGTGATGCAGTGTTGTTTTGCAAGCACCATCAGATACAAAATTACTAGTGATAGCGATTGCATTCCGACTGTGACGATTTTCTTGAAAACTTAAAATACATTAATGCTTGGCAAACAAAATTTCCAAGTATTTGCGAAGCAAAGTAAGCGAAATTTTGACTCATCTTAGAGAAAAAGTTCTTTATGAAATGTAAATACATACAATGCTAATTTTTGCCAAATACCACTTTAACGATTTGTGATTCATGGTCTCTCTATGAAATGGAAAACTGCAGACAAAGAAAGCGATATGACGACCACATTATTTGTAATTGCTGCAGTTATAGATTGTATGATTTCTTGATGATGATAAAATTGATGATGTATTCTCTTAACATTCATTATCAATTAATCATCTACATACGACAACTATACTATTAGCAATGAAAGTGACTCAATTAATAGCAATGACAATAAAGTACTTATAGTACAATAAATAACAGATTTATTTGTCATTCGTCAGAAAATGGTTTACGATTTTGTGAGTGCTAATTTGCATATCTAGGTATAAATTTATCTGTAGATTAAGGCTTCAATGTAAGAGAAGTTCAGCAGATTATTACTATCGTGGTTACTCACAAAATTAAATTTTCGGATTTTGGTAAATTGGATGATATAGAATCACGATTAGAATGGTGAGAGGAGAACAAGACGACGTCGTCCATTTATTGTTTGTTAGATTTTGAGGATCTGTCGTCATATCCGGCATTAGTTTCGGTTGGCTAATAGTTATATTAATTTAATCTCGGCAGGAGGTACGTAGCCACTATTTTATTCAGTCCTTCTCCCAATTCGCCTCATCTATCTCTCTTTGCTGTTCATCAAACCAATTATCGTTTATGCACAATTTCAACAAGTGAATTTGTAGAATGACGGGAGTCAGAGATAAAGATAGTCGCTTCAAATCAAGATCATTTTAAAATTTAAAGATTAGGGATTATTCGTTCTCTTCTCTTTTTTATTTCCAATTACCTCGTTGATTCCACAGGTTTCACTATCTCTCAGACCTCAATCCACAATTAACTACTAACTAATCGCAGAAGCAAATTGAAAACTAGTTTTTTTTTTTTTTTTTCTTTTAATTTTCATAGCATCAACTGCAATCGCACTGTCTATTAACTGCAAAACACTTAATTTTGGTGCACCTTTCATATTATTTTTCCCATAGCCATTATAAAACAATCTGTTTTCAAAATATATTCTTAGAAAAGTAAATTTGGGAAACGATTTATGAAATTGTCTGGAACATCTAGCAACTTATAGTTCAGAAATTTTCCAGAACAAATGTCATGTTTAATTAGTAGAGAACTGATAAAGTATGAACTAATTTTATTTGAAAGCAGTCCCTCAGTCACAAAGTCTCCAAAACTACTAATGCTAGTTTATTTGAAAATTTGTTCTAACTATTAGGCATTAAATATAATAAACCGAATATTAGGTATAAAGATTCCGGGTGGAATAGCACAATGGCAAAACTGATAATGTTTTTAAAATTTTTCTGTTTTGTGAATTTTTTGAAAAAATTTATCTGCAGCGGAAATTGCTCCACTAACATATATTAGACTATATATGCTACTGCAGCAATTCTATTTCCCTATCTCTAATAATTGTTCTAATGCATAAAATACTTACCGCAACTAGTCTCCAGATTTAAACCTTCTTGTTCTGTTCCAGTATTTTCCACATTTGGTGGGTGTTGCTGCATATGTTCTGCAACTTACACCGAATAAGAATAAATTTGTTTTAAAATCTGACTGCAAGAATTTTCGTTATTTATTCAGTGAAGTATTAATGAACAAAGATTATGCGTAGAAAAGTCCAGTTTAAATCAGTCGGCATATAAATTTATATTTAAAACTTACTGATAGCACCTGCAGCATTAGTTGTCTCAAAAGAACAATGTCGACACTCAAGAACAGTTTCTGGACTGGGTGACATCGATATCGCAGCCATTGGTGCAGAACTACCATCCGGGGCGCATCCAGTTTCAGTGGACATCGATGCAAGCTGCGCTATTCGGACAGAGTGTGCTCGGCTCTCACAATGTTCACGTAGTGCCAATGGACTGGAAAAGTATTTTCACTTATCAAACTGCACACACAGTAAATCAACTGATAGCTTGTTGGGATGCTTTTCATGAAATCATTTTGAAAATACAAAATGATTTTGAAAAAACCAGAAATCTTAATTTGATTAGTTTCCGTCAAAATCTAATGCGATTCATCTCCTAGTTGCTTATCAATACTGAAGAGATAAAATCGATGGAAATTAAATTTGTGTCAATTTGTCGCTGTATGGTAAGCAAAGCTTCTTAAATCCTTGAAATGGGGAACAGGGTTCAACACTTCAAGTTGTATTATTCTCCTCCGAAAAGGATGGCGGTGGATATCGATACAAGCTTCTTCTATTTCCCATATCCTCCTTTTTAGAACTTCTCATCATTCTGAAACTGCTGTGATGTGTAAGTTGTCGATACTTAAATGGCTATAAAAATATGCAGTAGAAAAGCAGAATATGAACGGATCGACAAAAACACTTGTTTTTTGCTGCTGCATATTTAAAAAAAAAAATCGTTCTGTTATTACATTTTCCTAGATCTCCTATTCTTCTATCTTCGCGTTCTTTATCAGCTTTCCTACAGAATGATTCATTACCAAAACATGAAAATGGATCTCAAATCATTTTTTTTTGCTTTTTATTATTGAGAAAATAATTTATGCAACACATCATGCGCAGGAAGTAAAAAGAAAACTTTTTTCCCGTAATTTCACAAAATACTATAAAATGACGGAAGATGAGAAGCAAGATCGTTTATCCTAATAATCCAGCTGTCATGAAGAATTCTCAAAGACTAACTTATTCTGAAGCAATTTTCCGTGGATGCAAAAGACTGTCTAAACGATGTAGAACTATGTGAGAAACCACTGACTAAACTTTTGATTCTTATAACTAATAACAGATTTTCTTGCAATATATAATAAACACTGAGAAATCACCGAGGAATTTCAAATGAAAGCAAAAGTCGATAGAACGTCATAAGAAATTCTAAAAAAAGAAAAAATTACCATGATAAGATTTCTTGACATGCGCGACAACGAACTTGTACAGCACTTTTAGCGGAACTAATTCGACACAGTGCTGCTGACGCTGATAATGATATTCCAGCGGTGCCACCCTCACGCATATGATTCATCTGGAATAAATAAAAATAATGGACTAATTCCCATACTGATATGTGGATACGAGAAAATGACAACAAGTTGCTATGACCAATAATAAGCTACCATAAATTAAAAAAATTCATGCTCTATAAGAATCACCCACACTCTTATCAAAATTCCGAAACCTTATACATTTAAACTTGTTGTCGGAAAATATATAAGTAACATTACGACTGAACCCCCATAAAACCATAATTCCTATGAATGAACAAATCGTTGAAAGAGCGATACTGAAAAGACAGCCTGTCCTCAGTTCTCTCTATTCCTTCAATGAAAGCTTTATGAAAGCTCTACCAATCGATAACAATATCAACAATTACTTGTAGCATTTATTTAATGCCTCTTTCTTGAGACATCAAAATATGACAATTTCAGAACTTTTTCAGTCGAACAAAAGGAAACATTGAGAAAATAATACGCCATGTCAAATAGAAAGTATCAATGATTAAAAGATAAGCACTGATGAGAACTAAAACACATATGCATGCATGCATGCATATCTGTAAAGACTGTTACACAGGCAATGGTAATCAGCGTTTGAAGACAATTCGCTCATTTGAAACCAAAATTGGCCAATCAGCGTTAGCGAAGAGCCACGCCTTTCCAATGACAAATGAATTAGCCGATGAGAGTATTAGCACCGCCCATATTCGCCACAGTAATTACTTCGACTTCATAGATCAATTAGTGATGCTACGCGTCGTTAATATTACAAATTAACTATGATGTTAAGGCATAAGATAAAATAAGAGAAAGCTACATTAAGCACAACTTACTGATGAACTAATAATCAATACCACATCCTTAAACACTTCGTTGCTTTATAACATACTCCGAAAGTTCTTCGTGATATTTTACACTAACATTAAGTGCTTTTCTCTGTTTTAGACATTCAAAGCAATCAATGAACGACTAGCAATTTACAGAAGTCAAATGAGGTATTGCAGAATCTATAAATGAAGCTAGTTGAAAAGATATTAGATGAAGCTATAACACTTAAGCAGAGCGGATTACAATACAAATCCTTGCATAAGCAGCAATATTTTCAAATTAGAATTACAACCTAAAAACTTGTCAGGAAGTTTTGAATAATGCAATATTCTTATCAGCATACATTATAATATTGCACAAAGACATATTAGATTTTCTAGACACATTTTTTCTTTCTTTTTACCGACCTGTCCCTCTTCGATGATATGCTATTTCTCTTAAAGGAGCGTAAGACCAACTTCAGGCAAGAAAAAAATAGATGGAATTCAGTAAAATAGTAGTAAAAAAAATACTACTTAGTCATTAAAATTCTATTTAAAAAAATCAAAATGAGATTTACTGTAGGTATAAAAGTCTATTCATCAAGATAATTTTAATAGGATTGGAATAATATTTGTAGAATGGAACGATTAATAATCGCCACATCTTATTATCTTCTTGAACTTATTGCTGATTAGATATCCACAGAAGTCAAAATAAATAAAAAAAAGAGTTAATCATATTTTATGACATTTCATAGTCACTCATATCATCTGACATAAGTAGAAATCGTGGTATTTGGTAAAAGAGTTAAAACAAAAGGCTACGGACAATACATCTCATTAAAGGCTACATTTGGTCATCACCTTGAGAGAAGGAACAGAATAAAAGGACACAAAACTGAAAGAGGACGGTGCATTTCATATGCACCGTTCATATGCACAGGATAATCTTCACCTTCTCGAATAAATTGCCTCAAAAAGCTCATTAGAAAAGGTAGATAGGGTAGAAAATGGGAAGTTGCAATTAATGCGGAAGCATTAACCCAGTGGGAGGACAATAGAGATATTTTCTAGTTAAGATACTTCGCTTCGTTGGTGGATCTTTTCTATTTGGTAATTACTATTTCTTCCTCTTCCACTTCTTCGTATTATCGATGTGCTGTTGGCAGCGGGCTATTATTTGTAGATAGGCTTAAGTGGACCACTTTACTACTACTTAATTGCAATTTGATGATGAGTAGTAGGAGTGAGAATGATGGTAGCAGTTGTCAAAAAGGTCTAAGGACAAAAAGCCACTGGAGTCGTATTTGGAGGTAAATATAATTGCTGCAAGTCATAAAGATTAAGAAGTAATTAAGTAATGCAGTCAACTATGTATGAATTACAGATGAAGGGAAATTAAAAAATTGGGAGGACATGCATATAATTAAGATAAAAAAGCACTCATTTAGGGAATATAAAGCGAAAATATTAAGATGATTCCAAGCTAACAGTTTAAATAGCGTTGCCATAATAAAAAACAAATATTAATGGCAATCTTTCATAAAATTTAATCTTGTTAATGATGCAAACAACTAAGATTGATTATATTATTGAGATGTCTTATGTAGAAATTAGAATCAAAGATTTGTGATGATGTAAGATTATTCTTGTTCCTATTAGACATAATTCGTGATCTACGCAAAAGACTTGTTTTAGCTTAACTGAGTAGTAAAAATTATCACAATAATGTCAACGAACAGCTACAATGTCATGAGTTATTTTTAAAAAAGTCTCAAAATATTATACTGATAATAAAACAATATAAGGGAAAAGAAGGAGTGGAAAAAATAAGTGAACGATTGTTGCGCCAACATCAGCTTATCGAGAGCCAATTGATAAGTATTGTTGTTGCGAAATATTCATTCATTGGTCTCGATGTGGTGTGGCTGTGTTGGATGAGTAGCAGGATGTTGTGTAATTGAAGATAATACCAACCAGTGTTTTCGTGCACCAATCATTCTTTCCCCTTCATTTTTAGTTTCATCTCTTCTCCTCCAAATGAAGATATTCATGATTGAAGTAAAAATGAGATTAATTGTTACTTCCAAAATGTTTCCCAAACTGTTTTAAGTCAACAAATCGGGACATCGCTGGTAGCAAGTCAGCATATAAACCAACCTCTCTCTGTCTAGAATTTTCTTTATCCGTCATCTTTCTCCGTCACTTCAATACTCTCTGCAAAGTTCACCAAGAGTTTACCGTTACAGTACTTCTTCAACACTTAACATCCTCTTCCACCAGAAGAGAAATCCTCAGCTGAGAGAATAAAAAATTGGTAACTCACACCCATTAACACTAATACAGCGATGAAAGAAGAAGATAGGCAATAGATAGAGCAATGAAATAGTATTGTAATGGATTAATTATAACAGTAGCAGAAAGAGAGAAAGATGAGCAGATAATAATAAAGACTTATTTTAGCAATGAGGAAAACTTTGAAGGAAGTAGAGCAATTAAAATATCCTTAACCTTTCCAACTTTTAGCCAAAGACTAGCTGAATCTCTTTCGCCGTTCTTTCTCTATAGCTAGGCTAATAAAAATAGCGATTAACTTACTTCACGATCTTCAAATGACTTGTCACTACAATAACAGTACTTATTATCTTTGTCCAGTAATTCCACACTAATAATCTATAATTGTTGGATAAGAGCACTGGGTGGAGTGGGGCGGGGCAGAGTTTCTAAAGGTACATTCATCCTCAACAACAACCGGTAACATGTGCCTGAATGATAGTAAACGGACAGGATGCCGATAATAATAGGGTTAGCTAACCGACGAAAAGCATCGTTTCTCTTTGCATCTCTCTCCCCTTCAATGTCCTTTTATTATCATAAATCGAATGTTACAATATCGCTGTGCTTGGAGATGAGCAATCGAAAGAAAAAATTTTTCGATTTAATAATAGGCGTATTTATCAACAGTAACATCACAGGTATATTTCAATACTTCTATTGAATCTTTTCACTGACACTACAAATGTTTCGCATCTTTTGATGTATAAAAAATCACTCAGATGGTAGTAAAATACGCATTTTCTATCCCTTTATTAGTCAATATCGTCGATAGTCTAATCAATAAACACAATATAATATATTGTAGAGGTTCAAATAAATAGTGATCATACCGAGATTCGCTGTCCTGAAAATTTGGGGATATGATGATCCACAGATTTCTGCCACAATTCGTGTGGCAATCCAGATAGTAAGATCCTGTAATCATCTTATCATTCAGTACAATAATGGAGTACATGCCTGACAAGATGATGATCCGTACATAAATCTGCAAGAAGAGGTTCTAACTGCTAATGTAGACATTTCTTCCATTGTTAGTTGGTAAGATTGTCGGAGGCTTGTCACCCTAATTCTTATGTCATATTTGCACGTGGTACCAAAACTTTCTTTGACAGTAATTATAATTTTACTTCGCACTCTTCGATTTTCACCAACGTATTATCATCGCCTATTATCATCTACAGATTTCACCAAGGGAAGAGATGTCACTATTTTCTTAGTTTGCTTTGCTATGGGGGATACCAATTATATTTCTAAATTATGAAGACTTCTGTCTCAACATCAAGTCATGATGAGGAATGAATTTTGTTGATGAATGAATAATTTGAAGGTCTTCGGGATGTATATTGTTCAATCTCTATACCATCATTGCTCGTGTGTCCTGTAAAGAGTTGTAATTAGGGATGAGGCGAACAGGTCAATGGCCTTACGAGCTACCTACCATCACCGCACCATGGTCGTAAGTGATCTGTGAAAATTTTGAGCACGAAGAAAACGACGGCAAAGCAGCATATCCTTTCTGTACCTGCTTGCCTCTAAATTGTTCTTCCATCTTCTTTTCCTTTCCTTATCTTCTTGCCTTCACTTGTATTATGATATTTTGAGGAGTAGAGGAAAAGGAGGAGGGGAAAAAGGCCGGATAATGCGTAACAATTGGGGAGATACGGAATGATGGGAAAATGATTCTCAAACACAATGCTGGCATAATTATAGGAACGCAACCTATCGAGGTCATTTGCTGCCATTGCAATTGCTACCAATTTTAATTTGAAAGACATAAAAAAGCCTGTGGAAAGATGGAATTATGACCTCTCACTTTCTAATATCGGGCTTGCACTTCAGGTTCACGGTAGCAGTTCACAAGTCTAAACGAAAACCGGCTGAAATTGGATTCTCGCGGTTCTAATTTCGTTAGAATTAGTGAACGAATTTATCCAATCTTTATAAACTGTCCGAGTTCTGAAGTCACATTTGAATAGGATTTCGAAGTTAAACACTTTTATTCCTTTTCCATTTTATTGTGACCATTGTTTGGAAAAGAAATGCACTTTCGCTAAACGTGTAAAATACTACGAAAGTTTCATAGCGCCAAAAGTATCAGAGATTAGATATGCATAATAACGTCAATGAAGAAGGAAGTATTCAAGAGCATTTGAACTATTTCTTTAAAAAAACTGAGTGCTACAAAAGTAAATATTGCATAAAATGTTCAATCTAGTTATTTAATGAGTTGGCAGACTAGTTCTAGATATCATCTCTTTGTCATTTCTATTTGTTTTATCTAAAAGATTTAAAAAGCTATTAAAAAAAACTTGATTAAATTTCCTTGGAGTGCGCATATGAATTAGAAGTATGCATGCCTGAACGAATAAGAAAGGTTTCGAATATTTAAAATATTGATCATTTTCTATTTACTCCAAAAAAAAAACATATGGTTCAGATCTAAGATGCTTTCGATGGTCGAATTCGATGGTCGCTTTACAAACAGCATATTCCATAATAATCAGAAAACATGCTAAACGTTTTTGCTGGAAAATATGCCTCTCTCCCACAAAATTTTAAAACTGTATGCTTGAAAATAATGCTTAAATGATTTATAGCAATTATTCTTGAATTTATTTGAATGCATAATTAGTCGTTATATAATTTTACATTAAAAAGAACAGATTTTAACTCAAAGCATCATCTCTACAAAGTCAAGCAACCGAAAATTTAGAAGTTGCATCTCAAATTATATTAAAAAGATAAATAGGAATTTGGATAAAGAGGAAAAAAATAAGTTGAGATATTACAAGATTAGGATTACTAAGTAAAGACTATAGTCTATGTCTCATATAACCCAAAAAAGAAAATTTGTGTCCATTTAAGGTTGGAATATAAAGCTTGGCGAACTTCAATTTCGCGGCTGAAAATTCAGATTCAAGATAAATATTGTAAAGGCAAATGATAAAAATTGGACCATTCAGTTGCTTCGTCCTATACAGTTTTGCAATAATTGCTCATGCAAAATTAGTAAAAGTATCAACTGCTTTTCAATATTTCAGGGAAAATCCATTTCTTCTAAGAAGTTCTCGAGGGAGCAATGTTAAAAAAAAATATGTTTTTTTTTACTTCGCTTATAATTCTTCTCACAGTATTTATGTTAAATATCAATGACAACAGTAATGGATATTGCTATCTCAAGAAAATACCACCGATATCACTACCAAAAGAAACGACACTATTTGATTGCGAGGAAGAAATTATGGAAGTTACAAGGGCGCAGAACTTTCAAGGACATCATAATCCCAACAAAATGTTTAAAATTTAATAATAATCCGTAAATGCTAATAGTTTTTTAAATAAGGAAATTGAATATCAAGTAAAATGAATGATGCCTTATCAGAGAATAAGTAAATGCCGTAAACAGTTGCAACTTTGTTTCTTAATTAGTTAATTATCGCAGGATTCGAATACAAAAAGTTAAACAGCATTGTGAAATGAAACAAAAAATCTATCCAAATGGCTCTACGGTATATTTGTTGAATAGAATAGGAGGACAAATCTTCATATCACAATCATACTCAGTCACTTTTCCAACCTTTTATTCAGGAAGTACTTGCTATTCACCAACAGTTCTATAAGCACCCCCCTAAAAAGTAATGATCGATATACGTTGGTGACAGCTGATGAGAATGAGTGAGAATGCCTGCTCGTACATTTCAAGATGTCGAGATGTGCTCCTGTCGATTGAAGTAGAACTTGAGGTATATTATGTACAGGTATATCTACCATCTCTCTGTCTATCTTTCTCTCCTTCTTTCCTTCTCTTTTGTGAAAAAGGTGTGAAAATGAATGAATGTTTGTGTACGTTTCCCAGTCTCCTTGTTTATGTAAATATATATGTGTATGTCTGTGTATCTGTATTTGTATGTATGCGTGTGTATGTAGGTATGTGTGTATGTAGATACGTCTATGCATGTGCGTGTAATGTGTATGTATGTGTGTGTTTGCCCGTACCTTACTGTCTGCAGTGTTCGGTTCTCGAAACGTGTTTGTGACAGAAAACAATGGTATAGAATGGTGATTGGCGTTGCGAAAAGAAGGGAGAAGGTGGTTGTAGAAGTGATGAGATGGGAATGAAAGGACGACAGGTATGAAGTGAGTTGAGGGAAGGAAAGATTCACAGGTCAACTTTCATTATTTTCATAGACCAACATCCACTTACAACTCGAAATCAGAACTGGCCAAGTCAATTGAATAGCAAATCTTGCGAAGTGCAGCGAAACAAGAGTTAAGTGGATAAGTTCTAAATTAGTTAGTTGGACTTGAATGAAAGTTGACTGAAATTGAATGAAATGAGTTGAACGAATGAATGGTGAAGAGAATAATCAAAAATGAACTACAACAGAACATAAAACTTGATACCTTCTAATTAAATGTCCGTCCAATGTTTGCCTGTGTTTTCAGATTAGTTACTTGAATCGAAATTAATAAAATCAAGGAATTTCTCAAAATTTAACTCCAGTCCTAAATACGTCTGTAAACATACATTTTGTGCTTGTGACCGTATGGCACAAGGAAATACAGCAGTAATTGTCATAACAACAATAACAATGACAACAGTAATAGTAATGGCAATGGCAAACGACAATAATGACAATTTGTTATGTCAATATTTTGAAGCGATATTTTAATGTTAGATGAAATGTGCACACGAAAACGCATTACCTCACTCATTATTTCTTCCCTTCCATCAGGTGTGAAATCTTGCGAGTTTTTGGAAATCTGGGAAAAATATATCGGGAATGTAAGAGACAATCTGATCAAAGTTAATCATATTTTTATAAAAGAGAGTATCAACAGATTCTTTCAAAATAAATCGTGATTCTCGAAAGATGTATCTTACAGAAAACCAGCTAATCATTGACTAATCAAATAAATTCAGTATAACAGTTCCTAGATCGTCACCATAGAACTCTGCCGGGAGATAAGCTATTGAATGAAAATCGGTATGACCACCATTTGCAAGAATTATCTGTACTGAAGTGTGGGAAAACCTTCCGTAACTTGTTTACAAGTTCAGAATATTTCGACATTCCGAATTACAGCATTTTAGGTTTTTTTTTCGAAGTTATGAACATAATAGCGTTTCTTAACAAATTATCTGCAAATCTAATTTATTAATATTCCCTAGTTTTTGAAAGGAAAATAAATTATTTTGCTAATCGAGCCTGCAAAAACTAATCTTGGAAGCTTCTTAGATCTTACCAAAAATGAAGAATACAACAGCTCATATACCTGCTTTGAAACATGCCGATAATTTGGTGTCTTCCCTAAAATGTAAAATTAATTTCTTTAAAATTGAATTTTCGGTTGGGAAATAAAGGAATAGATGGCGGACAGAAATTACATGTCAACGAAGAAACTGTGATTTTTGATATAAAATAAGTATTCACTTGTTCAAAAATTATCACCCAATTTAATCTCCTTTTTTCTTCATTCCTCTTTATACAAGGGATTCTGTGGCAAGAATATAAAACTAAATAAATTTTCCACCAATCGTTGGCCACTGAATGCCTTTTTCTGCAAATAATATATTATCCATATGAAGTTAAAGAAGTTTTGGCCTTCTCTCTTTTTTCTCTCTAAATGACTGGACATAACATTCGCTTTCATATCAACCACTCATTTACTTATTTATTTATCCATCACTCTTAATTCATCTCCTGCACTATCTACTTTGGAAGTGTGTCTATTGTTTTACGCCATTAACATAGATCACCAATATAATCTCATCCTAATACTTATGATTTTGAGAAAGCAATTGTAAGACAAAGTTAAACAGGACAAAACATATGTTCACATGTTATATTCTGGACAAAAAGATACAATCAGATAACCAGAAAGTAAAAACCATGACTTAGCGATTAAAATTATTGAACAGAATCCTAGATAAGAAGGAACCGGACAATCTGGAATTCATTACAGTAAGCGGTTGCAAATACTACTAATTCAGCAATATCTAACTTGCTTAATGAATGATAATGCAATATTTCATTTGCAATGTTGTGAGCAATAGCTGATTGATTTATGTCTTTGTACTTGTACATTAATCAGCAATCAGTAACGGGAAAGGTTACTAATTGTTGATTATGCATCAACTAGTTAACGGAACTAGTTTAGAATTGTAATTCACTTACCATCTGTGTTCGCTGCACATGTTTGTCGGTTCTTGTATGTAACTGGAAATTTGCTTTCAGGCTGGTACTATACGGACACAGGTTACAGTGATAAACACCTTGTATCACTGAGATATCTCCAATCACTGGATGACTTCGGTCTTTCTCTTAAAAATAGTTTTTTTTTTTTTTGTTTTTGATTTTGTTTGAATAGTTATTTTTTTATTTCTAGTTTTCCATGTAAAGATATAAATGCAAATGATCAAGGCGTTAGAAGCGGGTATATTTCTCCTATATAATATTAGTATTCCAGATTTGTTTCAAGATACATCTTTAAAAAATTTCATGAAATTTTCAAAGAACATTTTCAGCGCCAAACTTTGGACAACTGAGCTGCCTACCAATATGCTCGATCATTTTGGAAATATTATCAGTTGAATATGTGGAACAAATCATGCATTGAAGTAAATTTTTTGCATTCAGATCACCGCTTGAAATTGCAATCGCATTACCTAAAACGTGAATTTTTTGTAACAACAACAGTGTCGAAAAAGATCACGTTGTTCACCTAATTATTCCTTTCTGGAAAGTATAGATAGAAAACTAAATTCGAATTTTAATTGATTATTTAAAAAATATTTTCAACGACCTACAACGATCATTTCGTTATAGAAAATGGAAGACTTGGCACTGCAGAAACAACAACTGAACAAAGGCTCAAACTCAGTAACTAATTAAATAAATAAGTACCTGACCTGTGACTGGTGGTATTTCCTGCACCGCGTGTAAGTGCTTATCACTTTGCATGTGTATGCTCAAATTACCCTTTGTTGTAGTACTATACTTGCATATTTCACAACGATATGGTTTGTAGCCGCATGAATAGCTTTCACCACGGGCTAATCGAGGATGCGGTCGATTATGCAAGCAGAAAATGCACTTTACCTAGAAAATGCACTTTATCGAAAGATGTGTTTTTTAGATTGTTTGTTAAGAATCTTAAATTATTTGGAATTTAATGTAAGGTCTAACAATAAACTATGTGATGTATCATTGCATTATCTTGCTTATCTAATGAATATATTAATCATTGCTTGAAATTTATATAGGCAGATATATTAGATAATAAACCTCATGACCCGCATGCTTTTCCTTCATATGAATCTCCAGTGTTTCTTGGTATTTGTAATGCCAGTTGCATTTCGGACATTTTAATGTTTTAGAACTGTTGCGAGCCGTTAGTGTGGTGGCTGGGAATACTGATGCAGATGACGAAGATCCGGGCATATCTTCTGAAAAACAATAATAAATTATGGATTGACAAATTGCGATGCGCAGAAATGAAGAATGGGCGCGACAATCAACAAAGAAAAGATTGAAACTAGTGGTGCTATGTGGTATTAAATATTGCAGTGATGATCAAGAGTGAAGGTAAACGCTAGAATCACAAATCTTAAAAAATCATGATCAAATCACAAAATCAGATATACTCTGGAGAAAACTGGTTCTATTTTGAAAGATCAGTTCAAGAAATATGCAGATATAGATGGTACCATAGCCAAAAACCAATTTTTTAATAAATGTCACGAAGCCTTTCGTCGCAGTAATGTTCAGACATGACTTATCGATTTATTTTCAGATCTTTGCCAAAAGAGATCTCAGAACTTTCGGCTTTTTGATATGAATCTAACTTGAATTAAGTGGCAAAAGAAAATATTTGCTCCTGTCTTAAATCCTTAGTTTTCATCTTTTTCTAAATTTGGTGATGATTAAGATTTAAACTTGTTCAACACTCTTTCACTTTCAATATCGTTTCGGTCCCTTAGAATACTTTCCGGAATCAATCACTGAAAATTTTCTCACACAGTGACAAATTTCACTTGTAGATTAAAACTAAGTTTCTATCCATATTTCTGTCATTTGCAACCGCACCATCATATTTCCTCTTTAACTGATTTATGAATATCATGAGTTTCTTAGTATAATTCCAAAAAGTGAAATATAATTTTAAAACACAGTTAAACGCACAAAAGATCGGTGTAAAATATCTAAATCAAATTTTATGATTGCCCAAGTACATTACCTTAAAAACTGAAATTAGTTGATAAAGATCCAAGAAATGTTTGACTAGAAATAAATAGCCAGTTGCAATTGACACGTACCGGTTGTGCTAGTTGACGCTAGTTCTTGGGTAGACCCGTTCATTAAATTCATCGGGACACGTTGCAAAATCCTATTTGCTGTGAAATCGGCATCCGTTGATAAAATCATTGTTCTCTGCAAAAGACGATCCATATCCATGATTCCGCTATTGCTGTCACCCTCTAGCTTAGTACCGGAACCATAAAATATTGTATTTGAGAGTTGTAATGAACCACTGTCGCTGCAAATTATGCAAATTTTTAGAGACTAATTTGGATGAAAGCTTCATTATTTGCATAATTAATAATTAATGGCGTCTTGGCTTCGATAAACAGTCACGGAAAATATATGGAAAGAAATCGAGAAAAAATTGCATGAGTGAGGAGAGACACAGAATAAGTGATGAGATACGGGATTCAATAATGGTACGATAAAATGGTCAAGTTTGCAGGAAGAGAATCGGTTTAAGGTTTGAAAGAAAAAAATTATGCAACAGAGAGAAGGAAATGAAAAACTGTTAAGTGTTCTGAATTTCTCTCTTAGAAGAAAAAATTGCAACAATGAATTACACATGATACTCACTGATCACTACACCTGCCAGGTAAACTATTAGCTCATCTAGAAGTGATGCCATGTGACGTACCACGCTCGGCAAAGCGCATTATGCATGAGATACCAGCGTTGAAAGTGACGCTTTTCAGTAGAAGAAGTAACATAAAGAATAAGAAAAATAAAATGATACTTTCTGCTTATAAAACTTTCATTTATAAAGACAAAAAATGCAAGAAAACTATCCTTTTTTTTCAGACAACTAAACTAATATCAAATTCAATTTTATACAAAAAGAGCAGTCTCAAAGAAAAAATTCTCGCTCTTCTCACAAAACATATACAACACCGATGTAACGCAGCACACTAATATAAAAAAATTATTTACTTGTTAGAATAATTAACCGGTCAGTTATTCTCACCAACGTGTTGACCTTGCACTCATCTATTTCAGTGAAGTTATGAAGTCCGTTATCTTTTTCTTAACTTCATTTCGGGTGGTCATCTCAACTTCATTTCGCCCGTTTCACAGAATAAACAAAATTCTTTCACTGTAATAAAAATAAACCGTTCAATAGATTCCAAACCGATAGGGTGTATTTGCTTCTCGTCAGATTCGGTAATCACTTTGGACGAACATTTGCGCTCTGACGGAGTTGTTTCAATCTGACTAAAACATCTTTCGAAAAACACCTGAAACTTTATATTTTCATTTCTTGCTTGCACCTATGCCTTAAGTCTTATCTAAAGTAAAGTATACAATGGGTTCTTCATTATTCTTTCCTAAGTGACTCATCCGAATTGATTCCCTAGCTCAAATAATTAGTAGCCTATTCCATGGCTACTTGAAAAGTTCAGCTCAACTCTTTTAGGAAGTTCACATTTGATGATGAAATCATTGTTGATGGAAGAAAGCGTCATATCAAATAAGATTGGAAAAAACATATGCTTGCAGTGAATTATTGTTTATTTGGTGTTAATTTCTAAATGCTAACAGAATAAATATGCAAATTGATGGAAAAGAGGACTGAGAAGTGTATCGGAATGAATAGTGCCTGTGCCATGCCAGCTGAGTGCAATTGCGATAGTGCTAATGATGTTGATGATGATGATGTTGATGATGATGATGATGATGATGATGGTAATAATAATAATAATAATGGCTTAATATTTACAAAAGTGTGAATATCTCGCTGGTGACGGCTATGAAAGCTATTAGTCTCAGGTTGTGTGTCAGTGTGCAAGCCAAAGGCACTGTATAAACATTGCTAATGCGCTTCACACATGTGGCTAGCTCTATGCGTGTATGTTTATGTGCAATGTGTTGCGTGCTGTGTGTGTATATGTGTGTGCACACACGTAGTGTATGTATACGTCCGTCGCCTGATTGTTTAACTGTCACCCATTCGCTCAGGGGACCAATTTCGTTCGTGTCACTGTGCCAAAACACCATACAAAAAAAGCTAAGGCAATAATCTCAAGTAGGATTTCATGTTTCCATAATTTTAGAATTGTGTTCGAATATTTTCAACTTTCTGAGTAGAAACAAATAATTTTAAATAAAGTTTCATTCACATTTGAATTATAAAACATATGACTCACTTCTCAACCAACCAGCCATCTCTAAAGCTATGATTTTATGGAACTTAAATCTCCCTCATTAGAATTAAGAAACTGTGTTATTGATATTGGCCATTGGATTATTTGTCTTTCCCAAAGACTTGTACTCTCTATAGCAAGAGGTTGAAAAAAGTATGAAGCACACCTGGTTGCAATATGTGAATTTCAGCATGTTATTCTCAATTCATTTCGTTTTCTTGTTATAGCGATTATTATTTTTTCCAAAGAATATTTATGATGATGACGACAAAAATGATAATTATTTAATTCTAACTTTTAACGCTTTATATAATTTCTTAGAAAAAACTTCTTTTTTCTACAGACTTTAGGTCGGAATCTGATGTTGAAGTTTCAAAATGCAAGTTGAAAAATGTTTGCCAGGCAAACAAATGGCAAATTAATTGTAAGATAACAATAATTACGATGATTAAAATAATGACCCTAGCAAAGAAATGTTATTTCGGAATAATTTTTGCCTCCGACTAGACATAAGCGAAGAAAAATAAATTTGAGAAAAATTTTTTTTCCTCTTCCATTTTTAATACGTAATATGTCGTGGAATAGTAGCTAAAAAAATCAATCCTTAACTGATAATGTCAACAATTCACTTTCTTTAAAAGGAATTTATAAATTCAGAAAGAAAGGAAAATTATGAGCACCATGGTTATTTTTAACGATTAACACTAAAGAGATCAACTGAATCAAATTAGCCGATCATAATTTGCTCTTTAAGTATGATAAGCAAAAGAAAGGAATAATATTGTATTAATTAAACATTTTCGTGAAGGTAACTCAACTTGGATAATTTTTTAAAGATTGATATTTCAAGAAATACATTCAAGAAATAATTACAAAATTAAATGCAGAATATACAATAAAAGATCAAATTGAGATGGAATAGGGTAGGGAAATAGATTATTATAATTAGCAAATAATTATAGTTATCAAATTTCACTGTGCCTTCTTCCTTTTACCAATTCCTGTACACAGCCATATGTGATAATTTGATAATAATATAATATAGTAATAATAAGAGATAAGGAATGACCATAATTAATGACTACATGTTGCAAAAGCGTCCAAAAATCAGTAGTAATTAATAGGAAGAGACGAGCTGACTTTTTTAAACTTATTCTAATAATGAAATGTTCTTATCAATGGCAAGATTTCTGAAAAATATGTCTAATAGGAGATTAGATCAAAAATATAAAGATAAAGTTGAAACAAGCGTGATGCACTGCGTGGTCCAGTAGGGCTTAGCTTAGATATGAATAAAGATAAACCGTCCAATAAAAGTTTAGTACTATAGTATAAATTTTGTACTTTTGTCTAGCTATTGTCTTCAAATGTAACATATTAATTTCGTGAAAAACTTTACTGAAACAGGAATTCACATACCGGATTAAAAGTATGGTCGAAACTTGCGTCGTTTACTCCTGCTGCTTTGCTCTTATTACTGTTATTGTTGCAATTCTTAGTGTTGGAATGCGACACCGAGTTTGACCTCATACAATTTATACTAAACAATTTTAGTTAACATATTTTCATTTGAAATTGAAAAGAGAAGCGTAAACGTGTGCAATTGAAAATCACTTTTTGAACACGTGAATAATGAATCAACATATATGATCAGTTGCAACAGAATCATTGTACGAATAACACTGTGATAAGAAATGAATTAAAAAGTTATCCATTAAAGTAGTGTTGAAGAAAATTCTCCTACTTGATAAAAACTAAAATTAAGAGCTTAAGGTTTGAATTTTAGAAGTTACGAGTATGTTGGGTCTAGTTAACAGCTCAGGTATGTAAAATAAAATAATTACTTGTCGAAATGGCTTTAATCTTACTCATGCACCACTAATTTCTTTAGGGTCTCAAAATTACCGGATATTGGGCTAAGGTGTTTGGGTGAAAGCTTTCTGCCATCATCTCTTAATCTCCTCTCGCTTACAAATATCACGGTTACTGATAGCACACCTTCCCTGCTCTATCCGGAAGTCCAGTTAGAGCATCCTGAAATTTGGTTGAATAGGACAGCTCGGACCCTGAATGGGTTTATATTTGTTAAGAGAAGGCAAATTTGGCCTAAATTGCAATCAAGCGAAGCAGTCACCATAATTATTTCAAACGGCTTGTTTAGGCTTTGGCTTCGGCGGTCCTCCTTTCTCCCTTTTTAGTTAAAAGCTTCCAAACCGATTATTGCAAAAATTTTTCAATGGATCTAAAATACTTTTTCCTTTTTCTAATTCTCTATTTTACCACCAATCAAACTTAACAAACTACACTTCTCACCGCGTCTTACTTTAGTCCTGCAAGCTCCCATCGCGCCTTCTCCTTCCTTCCCTTATCTTTATTAGGCCCTAATAGCGCATTACCGTAATCTTTCATACAATTATAAACACACACACACACACACATCTATACACACATACAGACATAACAGACTGACTAATGAATATGTCTCTAATTTTCTCCTAAATTTTCAAATTTGAGCACACACACACACAGGAAGAAATTAGCTTACTCGCTTACCACTCGGCCGCACTTCTCTGATATAAGCCGTATGTATAAAAGGAATGAAATTGGGGATGTAAAATTGCCAAAAATTTCTTTCCCTTTCTCAAATGTGAGCTAATAAATTTTGCGGACAATTTTAAAAATAATTGTTTGGCCAATATGAAATAACAATATGATAACGACAGAACCATAACCAATATGAAAGCAAAGAATCGTAAGCATTAATTAGTGAGCATTTACAGCAACGCTTATCTAATATTCTTACATGAATTCTGGACTCTTTACTTTTAAGAAATCTGACGAAAGATACTCACATATGATAATATAGTGAATACGCTGGACAATGATGAAAACTGATGGACCAATCTTTAGGATAATAAGTAAATGTTTCAAGAAAGAAACTGAAAAATAAGTCAACGACTGATATCTGGTTGTATGTAACGAATTTCCAAATAGCAATAGGACAGGAAGCAAATTACTTTGAATAGTAGATAGATAGTTCTGATAATTCTTGGAAACATTTACCTCTTCAGAACTGGCAGCAGAGTAGAGTTTTCAGAATATATAGTTTTGTCTTTCTGTGATAGTGCTGCACTGTAATGCTTCTAGCTATATACAAATTAGGGGAACAGTTCACATTTTTACCAACAAACACCATTTCCTAACAAAACAAAACACTGCTACCCTTAAATTTCACACTTGAAAAAGCAGTAGAAAGAACTGTGACAATTGTAATTGCACTGATTTGTTCCTTAAATCAGATTTAAAAGGAGCTATACATGACGGATTTAAAATGTTATTTCACAGTAGGTATTTTTGTCAGGAAAGAAATAATTCCTGGAGGACAGACAGGATAATTCGTTTGAGAAATTATGAGGAAAAGAAATGCTTGAAATTACCATTAAGAAATATTAGTGTCACTTCATTAATTCTCCTTTTAACTAGTGGTAACAGAGCCCTCTGACGTTAACATTTCAAATCCATCATGCATAGTTTCTTTAAACATTGATTAAAACAATACCTCCATGATAAAAAATTTTTGGAAATATTTTGGAAATTTTGCGAATCATGAGCATTTGATTTTTGGAAGAAAGTAGTTAACTCGAAAACACTTACTTGAAAATAAAACAAATAAAGAAATCATGCTTCCTAAAATGATTCTCTCCTAAAGTTTTGCAATCATTAGGCATTTTTTCTGCTAATATTAAGAGTAGCTTCTGGATTTTCAGAAACTTGAAATTCTGATTTGCAAATAAGTTGCTAACACTTGGATATTTATTAAAGAGAGACGGAAATTTATAGATAGCAAAATAAAAATATTAAATTTCAGCACATTTTATGGTCGTTCGGTTTGCCCTCCACCCCCTTTTTCAGTCAGAGTGTAGACAATTCGTTTTGTGTAATAAAAAATATAAATATTCTAAAAATGGAAAATTTTTATTATCGCATTTTTCTTATATTACAGGCCGAACACCGTAAAATGCAATAATAATTATAATTCTTTGTATTTCCCAGAAGAAATAAGATCAGGAATAAGTTTTCTTAGGTGTTATGTAAATGAGATACCCATAATTTATGCTTCTGCATTCCATAAAACAACCGTAACAAACGAATGATCTCTTATCATGCCAAATGGATTCATTTTTCTACGTTAGTTACTAGTTACGCTGTACCTTCTAAACCAAGAGAAAAAAAGACGTAATAGGTAAGCTGAGTGCGCACGCTAATAAGAGTCTAATAAGTGAGCAGCTTAAATGCAATCATTTGGCTACTTATTCTTTTGTCTTCAGAAAGATTGTCTTTTGAGTTGGCAAGTGGGATAAATGAATTTCGAGTACAAGGAGCGCTTCGAATTACTATTGAACCAGAATTAATTAATTGATTGATTACTTCTTTTTGGTCATGATGAACGGAGAAATAAAGTTTACAGAAGTAATGAATGGGTAATGCGTGTAGAATACTGCTTTATTCTTTCTCTACTGTCCCGCATGTTGCATAACAAATCGCAATGAAACTGAATTTGAGCTGTCAATGTATCAGAATCCCTCAGTCATATATCACAAATGAACTTTACGTACTTCGAATAACCCCAAAATATAGCCATCTGTTTTAATTCAGGTTCATTTAAATTGCAAGGATAGATCACATCCTTTTGGTTTACTTAAAATATTTTTATTTTCATTCCAGGAATCAAACATTCAATCAGCGCAATTTAAAAAAAGAACTTATTTCTATGTTATTATCAGAAACCTTTCTCTTTCTTCTCCCTAAACCTCTTATAGTGATTAATATAAAACAGATGTTACCGCATTCCAGTAAGTGACACCAACATTTCTTTAGTTCTAAAATCATTCAAAAATTTAATGTGTAGAAATATTCTGCTCGCTATTGCATTTAATAATGAAGAGAAATGTTTTAAATTTTAGTTCATATTACAAAATTTCATGAAGCTTTATATCACTTGAGAAGATGTCACGAAGATAGTTCGAACTGCTTTTACGTTTAATATCACTAGAAAACATTGTAATTTACTAATTACGATTGTACAAGCTCTACCTATGTTCATCGAGTCATCGCATATTGCAACTAATTCTGTCTTTCTTCAACTATTTACCACACTTGGATAGTTATAACAGTATTAGTGAAAATGGATTTTTTGGAAGGGTTCAAAGATTATTCATAAATAATGTAGTGAAAATTAAAAAATAATTCGCACTCTTTTGTTCTACTTACAAACAATTCTCCGTATATCCTGTTAAGCGAAAATCCTGAAAGTCTCTGAAGAGTATCGTTTACTCTTAAGCACTGGAAAGGTAATAGTATTCGTAATAGTAACTAACACATATCTTTTTCTCTATCCTCATCTCAACTCTCTAATTTTATTTACATTATTCGCTCTTTTCATCAAATATTTAAGAAAATTTGCTCTTCCCTTTTATCTAAGAAAATAGTAAGTGTGTGGATGGATATTACCCAGAAAATTGAGTCTAATTTTTTGGCTTCCCTCCCATCATTGGTCATGTGTCTGTTGCAATGTTTTGCATTTTCAACTTGTGAAGAAAACAGCTAAAAACTAATATATCACTGACATATGATTTCCTGAAAGATACAGATACAAAGAGTTTTCCCTATTTCCTGCTTCTCATTATGGAACTAGCTCACCTTTTTATAAATTTGTCTTACATCACTACATACCTCCAGAAAATTACCACCGGAAAAGTTCATTTCCTCAGCAGATATCAATACAACAATTATATTAAACAAAGAAGATAAGAATCTTTGCTAACGGAGAATTGAACTCTGAAGATATGGTCCTTGCTATTTTAACAATGCGAATTGAGCAACCTGAAGTTGTTTAGTGAATACCACTAGTGTAGTAGAAATGGACATTATGTCAGAAGTCAGGCAAGAAACTAAATGAACATCTTTTGTGTGGAAGTTTTCGGCAAAATATTTAACACTAAAGAAGAGGTTATGACAAGTCTCAGTGATTGCATTAGAAACGCTCTATAACAATAAAAAATTTATAAAATAATACTTTAAATACATTACTATATTACTGAACATTCAAAATCCAAAATCATATTCTATTAAAATAAGCTTAACCAAATCTAGGATCTTAAGCAAACTACGAATGTTGAGATGTGTTAGATAGCACAGATTATGATGGAATTTAAAAAACGTCTTAAAACTAGCACTATAAATTTTTTCAGAAAGCTGATGTATGTCATTCTCGACTTGTTAGTTGTCCTGAAAGGCTTTTATTAGACACTAGCATTTTTTCTGTAATTCTGATCTAGACAATAAATAATAACCAGTTCAACCTGGTTCAATCTTCTAAATACACCGAAATAACAACTTTCCGAAGAGAATATACATTTCTAACTAAAACATTATAATTCAAAGATTAATTAAACAATTTTTAAACAGAATTAGTTTTTCGTGACTTAATCAGCATTGAATAAATTTTCAACTACAGTTGTTGAAAAGAT